ATCTTATTTGTACTCACAACAACCCCATGGGGAAAATACTATCATTCTCACTTCACAGATGAGAAAAAAAATGAGGCAGAGTCAGAACCTGAGTTAACACAACTTCAGATTCCAAGGTGTAAGTCACAGGGCCTTCCCACCTCCAGGATTCACACAGCCAATGCCACTGCTAAATGGTTTTGGTAGAGGGTTCTTTTTTGGGTTGAGCCAACTGGTCACAGTTATTTCTCATTGTCTTAGTTTTCGTGGAAAGTCCTATAAGACTGTTTACTTTCCTGCATGATCACCCTCTGAAGGGTTCAGAGCTATATGATTATCTGCTTTTGTATTAAAGAGTTGACTTGTAGGGTTCTCTTAAAATATAGTACCCAGGGGAGAATCCAAGATGGCAACTAGAGTGGAGAAGCAGACAGCAACTCTATAAACCAAAAATCTAGCTGAGACACTGGAGCCACACTTGGCAGAAAAAAAGCACAAAGAAGAATCAAAACTTCGACACCCTGAACCCCCAGCCTGTAAAATGCTTCTCCATGCCACGTTACACTGAGACAACAGGAGTGCTCCAGCGCCACCAGATGCCAGCTCCAAATCTGCTTGGCAGACATTTGGCAGACCAACAGGTGAGCACCAAGCATCATGTGGTATTCCCACAGCCACCCCTGGGAAAAACCAGCATAGACCCCTGGACAGACTGACACCCGCCCCACAAAACAAAAACAAAAAACTGAATAATAAATAAGGAACACTTAGCAGAGGGGGCAGGGTGCTCTAAGTCCACTGGAGAAGGGTGGATAGAGCAAGAAGCTGATCTCCATGCAAACTTTCAGTAAACAAAGACTGGAAAGACAGAAGGGCTGACAGTGGGTGGGTGATAAGCTGCTGCCTGAAATAGGGCAGGTAGCAGTCCACAAAGCTCATCTCCTGAGCCACTGAGCACCATCCAAAGTCAAACGATGCTGCAAAATTGAAAAACAATCAGCAAACCATCATAACACGCTGACAGCAGCGAGCCAGCTGACTGATCTCTGACCTTGTCCCAGAGAAAGAGGGCAAGGCAAAGAAATAAGCCCCCAGTGAACCAACACAGTGAAAACCCAACTCCAAAGAAGGAGGGCTGGTAGGCTACAGAGCTGTTCTTCGGAACCTGAGGACAGTATACAAACTCAAACAGCCACACCTCATTGAGAGAGGAGCCGATTAAGCAGCTGCCACTGAAAGACAGGAAAAAAAACTGGCAAGACTCCCCAACCACCTGACAAGACTAAGACAGAGCCTCTGCTTAAATACCAACACCAGGACTGGATGCTGAAGGAGTAACACCAGAACAACTAGGACTGAAATTCTGTTGTTCCTGAACCTGGAATTTTTTTGTGTATTTGTTTGTTTGTTTGTTTTGTTTCCTACTTGTTTGTTTGTGTGTGTTTGTCCATTTCTCCTGGTTGATTTCTTTGGGTTTTCTTGTTTTTGTTTTTGCTTTATTTTGCTTTGTTAGTTTTACTATTGTGAGTTAGCTAATACTAAATTACACACAGACCAGGGACAGAAATAGCATACATACACTAACCTAAAACTCAACACACCCACAAAACAAAATTAAACCAAGGGAAAGAAAACAGGTGACTGAAACCACCAATTGCCTATCAAGAACATAGTTACACAGTACCAAGTAGAGCAATGCGAAGACGAAAAAGGGATGGAAACCATTCTCCCCCCCAAAATAATTTAATACAGGATTCAGAGTGAAATGAAGAAAACGGATACCACTTCCAGACTCCAACAAAACAAAGATAAACTATGCCAAGGAACCCAACAAAGCCCACAAGAGCAACCTGAAAGAAGAAATCCTGCAAGTAGTCACAGAGAATTTCATGGAGATGTTACTAGACATAGTCAACCAAAATGTCAAGAGGCACTCAGCCATGAAGAAGAATGAAATCTTATCATTCACAAGTAAATGGATGGAACTGGAGAACATCATTCTGAGCAAGGTTAGCCAGGCTCAAAAGACCAAAAATCGTATGTTCTCCCTCATATGCAGACTTTAGATGTAGAGCAAATGAAGCAATGTTTTTGGACTTGGGTCATACGCTAAGGGGAGAGCACATACGGGAGGTATGGGGATAGATAGGTGAGGAACCCAAAACTTGAAAATGCAGAGGAGCTAATACAGAAACCTTAAAGCGACAGAGGTCAATATGGTAAGGTGATTGGGAACTAGTGAAAAGGTCAGGTAGCGATGAATCAATTCAGGTTGTAACACACTTATGCATGAAAGCAATGCTAGGAATCTCTCTGTATAGCTATCCTTATCTCAACTATCAAAAATGCTTTGTCTTTCTTATTATTGCTTATGTTTTCTCTTCAACAAAATTGGAGAAAAGGGCAGAACAGGTTCGGCCTGCAAGCGGGGTGGGGGGGGAGGAAAGGGAGGAGGTGGGGGGAAGGAAGGAGAAATGGCCCAAACAGTATTTGCATGTATGAATAAATGAATAAAAAAAATGTAACACCCAAAAAGAAACTAACACTGCAGATTGTTTACTAGGGGCATAGTCTATTCTGTCAATGAACTATCATTATATTTATACTAACATTGCCTAGTATTGCAGTGTTTTCTAAACAAGGCTTATTAGTTTTGGTCCACAAACTTTCTAAATCTTTTCATTGAATTTGTTCTATGCCAGATTTCCTTCCATGCATTTCTGAATGTGCATACAGGGCTTACATGCATCCATGTTAAGTTTCAACAAGTTGTTTTGATCTAATTGTTCTGCCCTGTCTGGGTTAATGCTCTTACCACACATATTAATATGTATACACATGCACACTTACTGTCACATATGCATACACCCAAAAGGGAAAAAAAAACTACATAAACTTAAATTTTCATAACACAAATTAAATTATTGTAACTAGTTCTGTGAAGAACAAATCAGATCCATGCTACAATTTTCTTTCTTGGGAAAAAAGTAACAAAGTAACTTAAGGTTAAGAAGTAAATTCATATCAACTTCTTGTTGCACATGCAAATCTAACTTTTAAAGATTTTATTCAAGACTCAGCCTACCTAGGACATTTTTACAATGTAAGAGAAGTTTTAAGAAGTACTAGTTTTCACTGTTCAATTTCTACTCAATTCTTACATACAAAATATTATGAAATATTTAGAGGCTAATTTAACTCTATATAAACTAATAAATTATAGTGCTGTGGATTTCAGAGCTATAGACTGGTAAAAGAATTTACCTAGGCAGGTGAGTAGGAGAAAGCAAAGATTTATTAGGATGCCATTTAAAATGAAAATAAATGGCAGGGAGCTAGGCAAAAGAGCATAGTGCTATTGCTACTGTACCAAGATGGGGTTGGAGGATAAACTTTATTAATAGAGTTTATCTGGGATTTTGCTGATTGGGGTTGTTGCTTTCTTGTAGGCCTTGTGAACTGGTTGTTTCTTCCTCAGATTATAGTTTGAATTTCCCATGTGGGAACATCCCTTGAGCTTGGCACCTCCTTCCTCATTTCGCTTGCTCTTGTTTTTTTGTTCCTACCATGCCTCCCTAAGCAGGGGGCTTTCCTCCACCCATACAGTAAATGCCAGGCAGAGAAATAATTTGGCTTTTTTAAAAATAAATAACCCATTTTTATTATTTATAAAATAATCAGTTATCATGAAGCAAAACTACTTTTTAAAAAATAGTAGCAAGAAAAGTAATTCTGTGCTACTGTGAATGCATTTTCTTTTGTACTAAACTCACATGATCAGATTACAGATTTGCCTTTGTTCTGTTAGTTCGAATTACTGAATTATTTTAAATTTAGAAAAGTCCAATTAAGCAGTAAAGATTTCCAACAACTCTTGGAAAATGTGCTACCTATAAGCCAATTTCCTCAAGATGTGAGCTGCAGGAAAAGAGGAAAAATTACAAGTATGTTAAGACTAGCTTCAATGTAAAAGTATAAAAGGTCACATTTGCCCACCTTTATTTCAAGAAATGCTATAAGCAGAGCTCTACTGCCCTCTATTGTGTTAATAATGCAACGCACACAAGTGCCAAAATAGGTGCTCCCAGAAAGTCCCCAGAGGCAACAGTTAAGTTGGTTGTTTCCCCAACTAACATGGAACTACTAGGACTGAGGACATTGCCTAAGAGCCTTCTCATGTTTGCTGTCACATAAATTTTGTTGAAAGAATAAAGATGAATTATTCTGGTTTTTAAAATTTTTTATTTGATTATTACTAAAAATATATGGTAGCAAATAAAACAATTTAAAACAGGACTTTTATTTAACGTTGGCTGTTTTAGTTGATCCTACTTTTAGCCCTACAAAAAAATCTGTTTGAAGCAGTTTTTTTAAGTAACATAAACACAGTGATGGTTCCTCTGCTTAGCTTAGGCTGTATTCATTTTTTTACTGATTGACAAATACATTTTTAAGACTCAGTCTTATAGAAGAAGTAAGGAAAGATACCTATTGCCTTTACTTTTCTAATTTAGAACACTTCCTTCTCAAGAACAAACCTAGAAAGTGAGACATAAAGAGGTTTCTCTTTTACTGCAGAGATACAGATCACTAGCTAGTTATCACTGTCAGCTGTACCCACTCTCACTTCAAAGAAGCATAGTTATATAAATCTTCCAAGCAACCACTAGCAATATTTTTGCATGTTAGCTTATACTTTATGAGTATAAACAGGGGAATGGTATCTTACCACCAATCAGGGACCTCATGATTATTGAAATTCTTTAATGGAGTAAGAAATTATAAACTGCTTCAATCTTTAATTGAAGATCCAGATAATACTGATTCTTCTTTCCAAAATTTTAGTATTTTTTAAATGAAAAACACACTTCTTATTCATCTAACCAATTAATCCAAGGAGAAAAAAGTAAAATACTATGATTGCAAATATGCTAATGAAAGTATAATAAAATAAACACTTTTTGCAAGACATACAAAAACTATTTTCAGCAAGTTTTCTAAGGTTCTAGTATCAAATAAATTAAACATTTTAGAAATGACAACATTAGTTTGTATAACCTACATTCCTTCGAAGAGGCATTTTGTCATAATGGACAAGGAGAAAAGTCAGCTAAGACTTCTCTTATACTACACAATTCACCGTAAAACTGGGGATAAAGAGTGAAGATGATGTGAGCAGAGGGGAAGAATGATTTGAAAGACTGTGATATGGCAACGTTCCGCCAAAACCTGTAATAAACTAGAACAAGGTGGAAAAAATGGCCCTAACTAAGGAGGTACTACTCAGATGGGAGGTGGGGGTGGAAAAATAATGGAATTTTAACAGCATTAAGTATTTGGCACATCTCCATGTAAATTATCCCAATTTCTTTGAGGTAAGACAAATGTTATGAATGAATTGAGTTCACATTAAAAGAAAAAAACAGAGGACGTTTTGAGAAGAGACCTCATTTTTAACACTGACTTTTAAAAATTATCTACTTACTTGTAAAAAGTCCTTTCAGTAAAGCACTTAGATGCCAGCTGTTTTTTTTTTTCCTTACATTTAAGGGTTACCATTAAGTATATTATAGATTTAAAAAAAACAAGTCAAGTTGGACTTTTACAAAAAGGCATCAAAGCCTACCAAAACGCACAGTGAGTTTGTAATTTGGATGGCGCTTTCTCCTTCTCATCCCCTGGCCAGTTCCTTGTAAGTATTCAGGTCCTAGCTTGAGCTCCTGTTGCCAGCAGTTTCATGAGTTCCTCAGTCAGATGCAGCGCTCCCCCTTCTAAAGCTCACTACACCTGAGTGTTGCTGCCCTGCGCCTGCCCACTTACCTCGCTACTGGACTGTAGGCTACACAAAAGGCAGACAACTCTGCTTCTTTAATTTTAAATCTTTAGGACTACCATTCTTATGTAGCCCATCCTACTCACAATCTCTCAAACAGTCCACATTATGCAAGTTAAAGAAATTGGGGGATGCTGGTTCTTCACATGAAATCAATAAGTTGTCCTATGCACATATTTTTAGCTCAGGAGAGTTAATATACCAGAGCAAATCACTAGGTTACAGTCTTAGTTCCCCTTCCTGCAACCTTTTTAAAGTTACATTTCCTTCATTAAAATATTCTTAGGCACTTATCTAAGTCCCAAGCAAACAAAAAGACAGGCCTCTTAATAACATAAAAACAGATCTTTCTGGTACAAGATCAGGTAAAAAATAAACAAATTCTTATGCTTGAACATGATTTTTAAGCACTTAACAAATCTGAGAATCTGAACTGCTACTTATCTCTAGGAAAATAACCACTCAGCACCAAATGCAGGAACATGGCTCTTCAAAGGGACATATTTTTGTATTTGTTTTGCCCCAATTTCTGCTACATAGATTGCTCCAGTCTTTCTGTCGATTTCTAAGAGATGTGGCAGAACTTGATCTGGTAGTTGGATAGTGTGGATCACAGAACAGTCCCCGATGCTTCCTGCAGGGGGCGCTGCCATGACTGACAGCCTGCTAAGATTCAGCTGGGCCACAATCAAGTACTGCCCATTGGGGGTGAATCTAAGGAGAAAGACATTGCACATGATAAATCAATATAAAATAAACCTAAATGTTTATTATTAAACATCTTAATCGCCTACAGTGCTAAACAATAGGTATCTACTTGCTGGATGATCCTTTTAAGGAGAATTTAAACTTAATCTAATTCTGTGGAGGGAGTAAGAGACTTGTGATAGTAGACACAGGAAAAGATTAGCTTAAATTAAATATATATATATGTGTATATATATATATTTTATACACACACACACACATACATATACATATCATAGTACTAAACAAAATGAAACTAACAGAAAACTGGCACCAAGCTGGGCCCAATTTTATAGACTCAAAATTTCTTTTGCACTTAAAAACTTGCCAAAGGCTGTATAAGGTGCCTGACACATATTACCTCTGATTCTGAGATTCTAGAGAATGGGGAGTTTAACCCTTTTCTTTTTATCTGGGATTTGAAAATCCCACATATCAAATTTCTCTGTGCATACTTATTTCCTTCCATTTTCCCTTGCTTAAAATTAACAGTATTTTAAACTTCCACCTGTCTCTTCAGAGAAAGTGAGTCACATAAACCAACTAAGACAAGCACTTTAAAATAAAAATAAACAGTTACCTGACTGAAGATGGTCCCTCTTCTATAAAACAATTATTCCATGTTCCTAACCACTCTCCAGTGTCTTTATCAAATACTTGGAGTCTTTTATTTCCTCGGTCTGCAACCCATACCTGAGAAACCAAAAATATTCAATTGGGAAAGATCTGAAATATGAGAGGAAAATGAAAAGACGGTATTATAAAATCAGATTTCAGATGAGGAAAAACTAAATTTCAAAGGGTAAAAGCCTAGTCTAAAATGCATTGACAAGTGAGGGTCACAATTGTATCTATCATAACACAAAGCCCTCAGCAGTCCACCTATTGTACTAAATGTGTGAATACCTGAAATCCTGGAGTCCTCTGCTATCGTGCAGAGAAGTAAAGATAAAGCAACAACACTCATTCATCCTCTAACAAGCATTCCTTCACTGGGTACTGCCAACTTGTTAATTCCTGGGCTAGGCAACAAGACAGAGAAAAGGAGCCCCTCTCAGCTCAGCACAGCCAGAAGTCATAATACAATCTCACTAAGCCATATCTGTTATTATCAAGGTATGCCAAAGTACTGAACCAGTTAAATGAAAACTGGTTGGAATAGGCTGGGATAGGTCAATCACATGTAAAGTAGGATAACAGGCTTAATTTAGGCTATACGCTGTAATGAGTTACTAAAGAACTGCTAGTATAAAGCAAGAAGGTAAGATGAATTCCAAATGACATTTCACGTGTTGTGTGTGTGCAACTTATGGCACAGATAAAGTGAGATGGTTTTTGTTATGTGGTTAGGGCTATAGAAAGGCGGGAAGATTGAACTGGAAGGGAGGGCCCACCCTGCTGACCTCTACCTCCCTTCTCAGATCCTTGGTTTCCTTAGGTTTAGTTTCAGGCACTGTTTCTTTAAGGTAACCCTATCTATATCTTTGTGCTAATTCTAGTAGCCATTGATTTCATTTCTACGTAGAAACAAAGAAGGTAACTCCAAAGAAGCGATATCTCTGTTAAAGGTGAGAAAAAGCAAAAAAAGTGGTAGTAGATAAGGTTGGAAAAGAAGAAATTGATTGAAATTTATTGGTCAAACTCTTTGCTTCCCAGTGGAACTAGTGAGAACAAGTGTTCATCTATGTGGTGCTTTTCCAGGCTTTCAAAATAAACCTCTCCCATCCCCATTTTGATCAGCACATTTTTTTCTTTTGAACTTAATATATTTCAAACACCTATAGTAGTGCTTTCCTAGTAGGAAGGAAACATTTCTTTTCAGGCAAATTTATGTTTGAATCCACTGTTTGTTCCTTTTATCAATTAAGTGAGATAAAAGATCTATTCTGCTTATTTCTAAATATCTGGGGAACCCCTCTTAGTACAAACCCAAACATTTTTAATAGAGAATGTGTGCATATACCCACCACACATACACACACTCACATGCCCAGACTCCTTCACTCACAAACCCACATGCAGACACATTGTTCCAGACGCAATGACACTACATTTACCCGACCAACTGAATCAAGAGTAACACTGTGAGGTATGTTGAATTTAGCAGGTCCTGTCCCACTTTCTCCATGCAGCCAAAGGATCATGAAATCTATAAATAGCAAACGTAAGATCAGTGCAACTCATGGGTTTGTGTGCTATATTTTGTAATACAAATTGCAAAAAACTATATCCATTGACTATTGACTATGCTCTCGGTGACACATCCATTTGTCTAACTCTTATATTGCTTCAAGATCTTAATATACTTTAATTATCTCTGCTTGAAATTTTTATGACTGCCTCAAATCGTTGTTCAGGGTTCATGTCATCCTCTCCCTCCAACTGGTTCCCCTTTCCAACTTATCTGTTATGGTATTATTTCAATAAGCTCAAAAATTCACATTGTTTTTATAGCTGTCTCCCTTATTAACCACTTTAGAGTGTTGAACTGTGGTCCTCCAAAAGATAAGTCCAAGTCCTAACCCCTAGTGCCTGTGACTTGCTTTAGAAATAGGGTTTTTGCAGATGAAATAAATTAGGGATTTTGAGATAAGATTATCCTGGGTATAGAGTAGGTCCTAAATTCCTTTAAAAGAAAGAAAGGGGAGATTAGAGACACAAAAATAGGGAGAAGGGGCCATATGCAAATGGAGGCAGGCTAGGTGGCAAACACATGTAAACCTAGCTATTGAGGAAGGGAAGGAGCTATTTAGGAGGTGGAGAAAGGAGGAAAGGATAGAAGTCTGAAGCTGGTTTCAGACAACAGCAAGAACTTATCTGAAAAATTACAAAGCAATAAAGAGCTGAGAGTGCACAGATGAAGTGGTAGAATGCCTGCCGAGCAAATGCAAGGCCCTGAGTTCAAACTCCAGTACCATCCAAAATAAAGGATGGAGACAGAGATTGGAGTTATACTGCCACAAGTCATGGGGCAAGGAAGGACTCTTCCCTAGAGCCTTTAGAGGGTGCCTTGACCACCCTAATTTTAGACCTTTGGATTCCAAAACTATGAGAATAAATTTCTATTGTCTAAAGCTACCTGTTTTTTGTAGCATTTTAAAAAATAGTAATCACAGGAACCAATGCACCCATATTCAATCTGTCTCTTAAATTAGGTTGCTTCTTCCTTTCATTCAAGTTTTTGCATTCTTGCTTTACCTCACCCTACCTCCCTTTAACTGTTAATGACCAAACTCATTACTAAGTGGTCAGCTGATTACATAGCCTCCAAATGACAGCACTCACTAAAAACCTCAAACTACAGACAAAATATGGCTCTGAAATCCTCACAAAAGCTTTTAAGACATCCCAAATCATACTTTCCACCACTCAGAAAGCACATTTCCTGCTAAAGACCATCTGTCAGACATCATAAGATAAAGCCTCCAGCAATTCTCCCCCTACTCCTTCCTTTTCCTCTAATCAAAAGCAGTTCAGTTCAAGGACTGCTCCTTCATGAAATCCTGTCCTATTTCTCCAGCCAATTTAGTCTCTCTCACTCTTAATTCCTACTTTATTTTAAAAATTGTTATCATAGATTACTTTTAATTGTCTCATCCACAACAGACCCTCCCCTACTGTTGCTACTGAGGACACAGAGCAGGGCACTAAACAAGATGCTTGCTGATTAATCAGCCTGCAGGACACCTGACTCTGGGGTTCCAGGTTCCTAACTTCTCCATTCTTTTTTAGGATTTATTCATTGTATAGGGGTTCATTGTGACAATGTGACAATTCCCAATAGCCTTCTTCTGTATGTTCAGTAGATTGCTCCCATCATCTCCTCCCACACCCCCTGCCCCACTTAAAGCAACCCCAAGAGGTTTCATTGTTCTATTTCACATGTATACAAAGCCCATCAACCATATTTTCCCTCACCTTCGTCTCCTCCATGTACCCTCCCTCTTCTTGTCCATTCTTAATTGGATAGGATATCCACTTATCTCTTGAACCCACAATAAATTCTCACACCCCCCAGTTCATTTTGGAGAAGACCTCTATCCTTTGGTGAAGAACAAGCAGGCCTGTTAGAAGAATCATTTATTGTTGGCAATCCCACCAATCTGTTTTCCAGTGCTCTCCTACTAATGCCTTTAGTCCTTTACAAACAGCTTCATACATAACACTGTTACATTACATCTAGTAACGAATTAAAACCAATTTACAAAATAATATTCTTATAAAAACACAAAAATTAAGCCATGTACCTTGGGACAGTTTGATCAATCTATTATTCAATCCTCCATCTCCATCCACGATGTAAATATCTTTCGTGTCCTCTACATATAATTCTGCAGGATTATCAAACTGCAGGGGATTCAAACCAGAGCCTTTTTTGCCTGGAGTACCCAAGACTTGAACAAGATCACCAAATGAATTGTATTTCTTAACAGTATGACCATAGGATCCTGTAAAGACAGACATACATGTCTCATAAATTAAAATCACTGTACAACCTTCACACTTTTCATAGAAGCTGAGAGCAAAAATGTGACAGAATAAATTATTTGTAATAAAAGGTTGACAGGCTCAGATAATTAAATTTTACAGGAAATAGTCTCTTCATAAGTTACAATTAAATTTGTTTATGAATAAAATCTTGGCTATAGCAAAACAAGTAGATTCTAAATTTAAATAAATGAAACAAAATATTGATTCATTATATAGAAAGCTTATAAAGTTAACAAATTATTGGTGTACAATTTTCATTTTTAGTCTTACCACCTTGAAAGAATGAATACTGCTTCTAAAAGAAATCAATAAGCAATCCTAAAAGGAACAACTTACATTCAAAGCTGTTATTTCAGTCATTCATGGGCAGCTGTTAAATTTTAGTACATCCACAAGAAAATTCTCTGTCAATAACACAACTTTTAAATTTTTATTTTACTTTTAACACAGTTTTTTTTTTTAAAAACTATACTTTCTCCTAGTGAAAACAAATTCAAAATTGAACCCATTAACTTTTTCTTTGTCAGAGGAAAATAATCTTTTAGTTAAAACGATCTTATAAGGAAAGGACTAAAGTAAAATATAAATAAGTGAAAAACGACACAGCAGTTAACTCAAGTTGAAGGCACACAAGACCAAAATAACAGATATTCACAGTACTCAGTGGACACATTAGGCTTACCAAGAAAAAAGTGAATCAGTTTGCATTATGATTCTATTTTGAAAAATGTATCTATTATTATACTTGATTTGGACACTTAAGACAGTTTCCAGCAACAGTAAGAGAACTCAAAATCATCAAAGAGCAAACCTCAGAGTTTCTGATGAATGGGCAAAAGGAATAAAGTACAAGTCAATAATTTTTAATGGCTAATTTACAGTCATGTTTTCATTAGAGGAAATCAATTCCCTTGAAAAATGGGAAAGAACACAAAACCTGGTTTTCAGATCTGTGGGTGGAAAATGAGTGCAATGGAAATAACAGAGAGATCATAAATTACATGAACAGAGGAAGTTCAAAGAAAAGTCCTCTGACAGTGCATAAGGATGGGGGGAAACAATCAAATCTCATTGCAGTCTTACGTCAACTTAGAGACAGATACTCTAGATTGTTTTAACCAGAATTTTATCACCCAAAACAAAGCTTAAAATAAATGGGTTATCCACCACCTGAGCCCAGAACCGTTTGGGTGCTAAGACCATGTGTGGTAATGGCTCTACTTATGAAAACTGAGACCTTATTAATTTGCAAAAAATGGTAACTTAATTAGCCAGAACTAGGGAAGCAGTATGTCCTTCAATTCAGGAACAAGCTGGGCCAGGAACACTAGAAATACTGTATTATTCATTCCTTCTTGAGTCCTTACTTATCAGGCTGGAATAGGCAGTTCTCTTGTTCAACCTTGTCTTAAGCACAGGTGAACTGCTTTCTCTGAAAACTTTTTCCATAGCTATAAATTCAGTTGTGTTTACTTAATTTTAAAGCATTATCTACTAAAAACGTTTGATGGAAGGAAGACTTCAGTCAGTGGAATTTCAAAACCTAATTTCTGCAAATCTCAGCATTCTGGGCACAAAGCAATATGGCTGGTAAAAGAAAAAAATGGTGAAAAGAACTGGTAAAAGGAAAAAAAAATCAGAGTCAAGGATTCCACTTATTCCCTTTAAAAAATTGCCATTTTATTTGACTTCACAGAGAGGTGTAGACTTATCTAATTTGAGAAAAGTAACTGATTTAAAGAAGAAAGATCCCTTGACAAGTGTAAGAGAAAGATCACACTGATTATAGCCTCCTTGTTTAATTTCTTGATTCTGCAGAAGTACAATATAAAGATTTTTAGAAACAAGTGAATTTGTGAATAAAGAAATTGTGATTAGATTTGGCAACTCCTGATTTTGAAACATACAAGCAAGAGCATGGGCAAAGATGTGATTTCTAGCAAGGTAATTTAATACATAATTGCTACACCTACCACTTCCTACATCGGTGATCCAGACAGATTGTTCATGTGATGTGCTGGATGCAAACATACCATGAGGTGTGTCAACTGTGTAATTCCAGGCTCGTAGGAAATATCCATCCTCTGTGAACACTAATACCTTTGGAATGTTATCCCCTCTCTGAAGGTATACAAAAATAACTGCTTAGATAGGATCAGTTTTAAGGAATGGTAATCTTCATCTTGTCAGAGAGAAAATCAGTAATATTTAAAAGACATCCACTTCACAACTTAACAATATCACTATCACATTCAAAATCAAATTACTTGAAACCAACTCAAAAACAAGTTGCATAGCTAGCATAATATAAATGTATACGGCTACTTTAAGGCAGTAAAACAGAAAGTCTGTTATTTACTTTACAATCATACTTTAAGGAAAAAAATTTTTAAAAGCCGATTTTACTTACTTGGGCTACATAAACCAATCCGTGGAGGGAGTCAACTGCAACACAAAATGTCGTGCCAGTGAAGTATTCTGAATACTTAGGCCAGCCCAAATCAAGCCTGTAAAGCATTTTCTCCTTTCTCGAGGAAATTTGAAACGGAAATTTCCTTAAAGCCTTAAATAAAATCGTAAGATTAAAGTTCAGTTTGCCCTCAGGGTAATGAATAAAAAAAGAGGTGAGGTGGCGATGAAGCTTATTTTTAATTAAGCATGCTTCGACAGAGTTTGCTGGACTTAAATTACTCCAAATCAAAAAAAAAAATAGGTTTTTACATCTAAAGACCAAAACGGTCATAATAAAAGTTTGCAAATGATGTGCGTGTAACAGGAGCTGGGGAAGATGACAAAATACCATATGCACACTTGTTAACACTGAAAGACATGGTGCTGGCTTTGAGCCCACCTGTCAGGAGCTGGGGCCACCAGGTCCCTGCATGCCTGTCCCCAGGGTCACTCACGGCTCAACTCACCGAAGAGTCACAAAAACGCGAATGCAATGCCAGACATGCAAGAAAAAAGACAGCGCCGGCCACGCAGACCCAGAACCTCGCCATGGCCACAGCGAGGGCACCGGAGGATCCACAGGTGGCTGGGGCGGCCGGGCAGCCTCAGGCCCGAGCCGTTCGTCCCGGCACAGAGTCAGAGTCAGTCCTGATCCCCAGGCTGAAGCCCCTACCCACAGCCCGTCCTGGAGCCGCGGGCTTTCAAAACCGAAGGGACTAGAGGATTGGACGAAAACCACCCGAAAAACCGAGTTCCGGGTTTCTGGCCGGGTCCCCGCCCCCAATTCAGGTGCCAGGAGGATGGCCCAGTGCCCACCCTTCTTCATCCCTTGGGGTTGGTCCACGCTTCACACTTCTCTAGCCACCAAAATGGAGGTGCCTGTAGATATTCCTTATCCTCTTGCCGTCCATTCTTTAAAATTCAGGTTCAATAATCAACACATGGCACTATAACACTGAAAACAAAAGGGAGGGTGACTAAAACAGTGGCTCCCAGGATCTGAGAAGAATTTAAACCACATTCTTTGCCAAAACCTACAGGCATGCGCTGTGGACACCGATGTTCCCACACCAGGAACCACCCCCCCACTCCCCCCAACTGGCTTTCAGGGATCAGCCGCCTAAGCTGGTGGCGCCGAGTTGAGTTTCCTTGGGCGCGACGGTCTTTACTGAAGGTCCCCGTGAGCCGGTGGGGTCTGTAGGGGTAACCCGACAGGGCGCCCGGCGCTGTGTGCGCTGCGGTGTGCGCGAGTCCCCTTGCGCGTGGCTGTGTTCCCCTTCGCCCGGCTCCGGTTGCTCTCCGGCCGCCGGCCCGCTCCCGGAAGCCTCGGAAGCTGGTAACAAAGAGCCTTCCCGGCCGTCCGCTGCCCAAGCTGCGGGACCCTGGAGTTGGGCGGAGCGGCTGGGGATGAGCGCGATCCGAGCCATGAGTCCAGCATCGCGGCGGTGAGCGGCACCCGGCGGACCAGGCGCTGGTGCGAGCGGAGAGGCCGGCACCTCTCTCCTCGCCGCCCTCGGGCTCGAGGCGCTCTCGTGGCGGCTCCACGCGGAAAGTGGCTTCGCGGCCTGCCGGGCCGGCGCCGCTGGGCTTCTCTGCGGGACACGGAGGATCCGGCTCTTCCCCGAGGTGCTCCGAAGCTTTGTGTGAAGAAGCCGGGGGCGCCAACCGGGAGTGCTTTTTGTTTTTTAACAAAGTTTTTGTAAGTCCCCGCTTTTTAGGAATTTTTGCGGAGTTTGCAATAGCGTCTACCTCTTCGCATCCTTCCTCCTGCTCCTGGAGCTGTGAACATTTTTACTCTCGGCGGAGCAGATCAGGGATGAACGTGTTGTAATTGCAATTGCAAGTGTAACTGTTCAAAACCACGGCGAAACAGTAGCCAAGATGGACAAAAAGTCCTTTGAGACCGTGCTGGATGAAATTAGAAAGGTAATTACGCCCGATTCCTTAAGTGATTCTGAGGTACAAATTATCACGTTTTATTTGTCTGAGTTAGTGTGTAGATGGCAGAAAGTGAGGGTGCTAGTTTGGATTTTCCAGCGTTGGAAACCGACCTGGATTTATTTTACTATAGAAATAGAAACAAAGTTACAGAACGCCAAACTTGAGACCATGGCGCCGATGCTGAAAACGGCTCTGCAAGTTTTGGCTAAGTAGCTTACTATTTCTGGGTCCATTTCCTCGTTTTTTCAGTAAAAGGAGAGTGAAAGCTAGAAGTAAACACGTAGAATGTTTTCTTTTATGGTATTTTTGAAACCTGGGAATAGTAGAATATGCTCCTCTGTTGGGACAAAATTAATGCACAAAATTAGCGTACTCCTGGTCAGTGTGGCATTAAGTCTAAAGTCACGTTCTTAGGAATTGACCACCAATAACTTGAATTTGAGAACATTTTTTCCTTCTTTGCAAGCTTTTGTTTGAGGCTGTTGTATGTATGTATCCTGCCTCCTGGAAAGAAGTACAAAGCAAGTATTTTGGCTTTCCAAAAAGCCAAGTTTTCTCAAGCGTATAAAAAAGTTATCTGCTTAAATCTGAAAGAAGATGTACCATTGTTGTACCAGCCAGGGTGACGTGTAGGACACCCAGGCAGTTGTTTTGGGGCATTTGTGTTCCTTTCCGGCCCTTAATTGGCACCAGAGAAATTGTTACCATGTGCTTTATTTCAGTTTATGAAGTTATTTCTGGAATTGTCTCTGAACTTGCAGTTCTAATTTGCTCTTTATGAACTTTTCCTTTTTAAACAGATAGGTTTAGTTTTTCATATTTGATAGCGCTGCCTGGTCTTTTTGAACAAATTTGTGCTTTTACAAATCCAGTCTGCCCAATTAAAGTTCAAACAAAATGTCAGTTTGCTAGTTGTAATTAGAATTTGTCACAACTTGTTCATGAGTTGATTTTTTTTTTTTTTTTTTTTGTGGAACGGGTTTGAATTCAGGGCTTCATGCTTGCAAAGCAAGCATTCTACCACTTGAACCACACCTCCAGTCCCATTTTGCTCTGGTTATTTTGAGGATGGAGTCTCTGGAACTGTTTGACTAGGTTGGCATCGCCATACACCTGATCTTCCAAGCAACTAAGATTACAGGTGTGAGCCACCAGCGTCTGTCTCATGAGCTGATTTTTTAACTTGTCTGGGAAATAATTTGTAAGCTCAAGTAGACCAGCAGATTTCTACTTTTGGGTAATACAGGTGTCAGTGTGTATATTCTCTCCCTTCTAAGTTTTGGAAAAATGTCACATAGTAAATAATTAGGGGAAAGGAAATTTTCAGAGATGAAACTCATTCATATGAAGAGGCAACTTAAGGCCGTATTTCTGGTCTGCAATCAAAATATGCGTATTTGTTGCCTTTGCCAAGTGATTAGGTGCCTCAACGTCACCTTGGTCTATTAAAATGAAATAAGATATGGGCATTGCTATTGATGTTTTTCACATTGTTCTTAGGCTCTGTAAATGTCAGTTTAAGCCAAGTCAACCCTTTTTCTGTTTGGCACCATAGGTGTATAGATAATACTGTTTGTCACTATTGTCACTTAAGCAGAGCATTTGAGAAGACATTAGGAAAAGAGAAACTGGGAGGGAGGGAGAAAGGGAAAAAGGCAATGTTGCATTTGCTTTTCAAAAAGGAGATAATGCTAGCTATTAATTAGTGGGCACTTACTGATAGTTTTATAGATGGCAAACCTAGTCTGTGAGGTTAGTCAAGCAGCTCAAGGTTACCCTGCTGCTAAGGGGCAGGGAGGAGTTTGGTATTCCAACTGAGGTACCCTGATTCCAGAGCACCTCAGTGTATGCCTGGAGCTGCAGCAGGATGTTTCAGGCTTTGATGAGAGAACTCAGATATGACTGGTATCAACACAACCCAGGATTTGCTGCAAAAAACTTGTTTTTGACTGTAACCAGTAATGATAATCAAATTATTAAGAGTATATTATCTAGAATGCCATTTTTCCTCCAAATATAATTGGCTCATAATAAGAGCAAAAGGATTAGTTCATCTTTCATGATTAGTGCCTATCAAGCTGAAGACTGGTGTTGTCATCTCTAACCTCAGCAAGTAGCTGAAAGGGGAGCACATGGAATTTCATTTGACTCTAGATAGTGCTGGCTCAGGGGCACCAACTTCTCTCTCGTGCACTGTTAGATTCCATAAAGGAAAGAAACCATCTACTTTGTCAGCTCTAAAGTTGACTGTTGTAATCCTCACTGTAACTCTTTGAGGTGGGTTGTGAATGGTGTTCCCTTGAATGAATGAGGAATCTCTAAAGGAAGTGCAGTCTGTCAAAGACCATACTACCAGTTAATGGCAGGCACAACTTTGGATCTAGGGTCTCCTGGCTCCATGCATTCTCATATCTCTGTGCAAATACTGAAAGCCTTACTGAGCTTTGTCTTATTCTTGCTTTTCTATCACTTTGTACATAATAGGTGCTCACTAAATACTTGATGAGCAGAGTATGTAAGATTTGATACAGTTAATCGTGAGCAATGACAATTTGGTCGGATTAGGGATGTTTTGAAATGCTTTAATTTCATATTCAGGAATACCATATGTAACCTTTACTAATACTGAGTATCACCAATTAAAACTTGATTCCTTTGCAAGAGTGAGTAGGAAGGCCCAGAAGCCTTCCTGCTCTCTCAGTGTCTTCCCTACGGTATGGAACCTGAAAAAAGTAGAATATCCTGTCTCCACAGTGACCTTAACTGCTGCTGCATGCCAGTTTCAAAGAGACCTGCCACTGTTGAGTTGCTTGAGTAGTTTTGATACATGTATACTAGTGTGCTGCTTATATATATATATTAATGGTTTTTTTCTTCTTTTTTTAGGCTGTTTTGACAGAATATAAATTAAAAGCAATTGAATATGTGCATGGATACTTCTCTAGTGAACAGGTATTCCTTGTTATTTGTTTGTTTTGGTAGTACTGGAACTTGAACTCAGAGCCTTGTGATTGCTAGGCAGGTGCTCTACCACTTGAGCCATTACACCATCCTCCTTATTTGTTAAAATGAATCCTTTTTTGCACCCATGCTCTGGTTAATGTCTGTTTCCCTGCTGGTCAACCACAGAGTGACTTTTACTTTGTGCTGTATTTAGGAACTTCAGAAGCTGTCAGTTTCAGAGAGAACTTTAAAGAATTTGTACAGAAATATTTTATAAACCTACCCACTTTTATCACAGTTCTTATTCTGAAATGGTTTTCTCGCAGTGTCGAAAAAGAACAGTTCAAAGTGATAATTATTCTGGCACAATATCAAAATTTTAAACAGTAAACTTAACAAAATGTATGTTTATAAGACAATAATTATAAAATTCACCAGATAATATTGAAGAAAATATGAATAAATGATGCAGGGTTCTTTTATGAACTACTAAATACACAGTGTCTTAATAAGGACTTCCTGTTACTGCCAGAAAAAGACTGATGTTAGAAGCATGGTAGTTTATTAAAGCTTCACCCCACTTTAGGAAACTTGGATAATTTTGATGAAGAGAGTATTTGAACACACAACCCCACATATACACACACAGGCACAGAGAGAGAAGGACAATTTCTGATGGATACTAAGGAAATTCTTGATAGAGAAATCAGGCAAAAGTATGTCTGGAGAACAGTTTTGGAAATGAGTGAACCACTGAATGAACCTGTAGATTGAGTTAACAAATGCACCAACTTTTATTTCTCAGGAGCTTAAAAGTTTGAATAAATTTAGGCCTGTAGAAGTTCTGCCTACTTTATGATTTGCATCTGTTACTGTCTATTAATGGTTTTTCAGCTTTCCCATTGTTTTTCAAAGTCATCTATGCTCTTTAAAGTTAAATGTTTTGAAAAGATTTGTAAGTTCTCACAGCTAGTAGCTGTGGGCACATGGGGAAGTGGGAGACATTGACTTTGTAGAAGACACCTTCCCTCAGTGGTGCTTTCACTTTGCTAAAATCATTAAAACTTTACTAAGCCACTTTCTAAGTGAGACATTCTAAGTTTACGTACTGTATTAAAGGTTGATAGCTTGTTTTATGGTGGGTAAAATATAGCCTTGACTATATAGTAAGAGTACTATTCCCATAAAAATAAGGGCATATACTCATTCCAAATTAACTGCAGAGTATACAGAGCACTTGTTTGCTATTTGTGCATTTTTTTATATGAAATAAAAAATATTTTCACTTTTCTGCAAAACAACCACTGCAGTTTGCACTGCTGACTTTGTTTTGTAGAATAACTGAAACCTTAGTACATTTTAAGAAACCTCACAGTAAAATAATTAACACAGATTTTATGACTCTTCTTGCATTATTTGTTTTTTTCTTTTGGATTGTTCTTGGTGGCAGTGGGTCAGGGCAGTACTTCAAAATTATGATCTTAGGCCCTGCTCACCTGTTAGTGGTTGTCTCAAAATGTTTACCTTATGGGCAGTAGTTGGAGCCAGTGAGAGCCTGGCTATCTGAACTTTGAAAAGGATACACCATTAGGAAGCTGCTGAAATGGTTCATGATGATTCTTAAATTTTAGAAAGTAGATCTATAATGGGAATATTGTGCCCCGCAGATTCAGGTAAAAGGGTTATTACCCTTTTATCTCCACTAAATCATACCACCACATCATGTGCGTGATTACGGTGCTACTCTCCATTAATGTTTTAAAGCTTTCCATTCGTAGTATGTTTTTGTACTCCTAAGGTGATATTTAATTGCCATCTAGTACTTTCAGTCTTCCTGTTCTTTTTAGGATGCTCTCTTGTTTCTGGATTGTATATTTTCCTTTCTTTCTGGACCAGTGCTGTTCAATAGAACTTTCTCTGATGGTAGAGATATTTTCTTACCTACGTTGTCCGCTTGGTAGCTGTTGGCATTATATGACTCTTGAGCACTTGAAATGTGGCTCATGCTACTAAGAAACTAGATTTTTAAATTTGATTTAAGCGATCTTTGAATTTCATAGCCACACATGGCTGCTGTGTTGGGCAGCACGTTTAGGTTCTTGTACTGTCTTTACCACCTGGGCTGGACTGTTGAATGGTAATTCCTCACACTGAAATAAATTTCTTAGTAATGTATGCAAATGTGCTGTCATCAGTGCTGAATTAACTCTTTGCTTTCAGGTAGTTGATTTACTGAGATATTTTTCCTGGGCTGAGCCTCAGTTGAAAGCAATGAAAGCATTACAGCATGTAAGTAATTTGTGTTTTTAGAATGTAGAATTTAAGTATTTTTAATTCTCCTGTTTTTCCATAATTCACCTCAAGTTGTAATGTATATCAGAAAAACTAACCTTAAATTTTATAATACTTTGATTAAAAATAACCATGTTAAAAAGTTAAAACTTCTAGCCAGGCCCCAGTAGCTATTATCCTAGCTACTTGGGAGGGTGGCAGAGATGAGGAGGATCATGATTCAAAGCCATCTCAGGCAAATAGACCCTATCTCGAAAATACTCAACACACAAAAGGGCTGGCAGAGTGTCTCAAGAGGTAGGACACTTGCGTAGCAAACATGAATCCCTGAGTTCAAACCCCAATACTCAGGGAAAAAAATTAAGACTTTCTAAAGTGTAAATTTACATCGTATGTACTGTTAAATTCTCTACCATAGTGTTCTGCTTGCAGATTAGAGTAAAATAGTTGCTAGCAAGAAGAATTTAAGATTTGAATTCTTAAGTATTTTTATGCTCTTGGTTCTGTTCTTTTCATACCATCTCCACGTCTTTGTACTTAGAAGGCATCAAACAGGTTATGCTTAATTCTTTAGACCTGCATTGTGCAAATGCATTTTCACTGATAGTAGAAATTTTTAATTCACAGTCTCCATTGTGAACCATTGACCAAGTGGCTATTGAACACTTACAATGCACATAGTCTAAGGAACTGTGTTTTTGGTTGTTTGTCATGGTAGCTATTTAAATAGACACAAATGCTTACTAACTACACAGTCTGGATTCTGGACCAACAGGAGCATCTAGGTCATGCAGGGTATCCATCTGGTTGTGCAGGAAGATTTTTCAAGGAGTAGCAGGCTATATGGATAGTGTTAATGGAATAAATTCACAAGTCCTTAACTTCCTAAACTGATCAGCTAAGGAAAGTATCTAGGGTATTACTATTTCTTTCTTACCTCTCTAAGTGTTTGGTTTTTTTTTTTTTCCTACTTTACACAAGAAAGGGTTACCTCTCCCATCTCTAAGGGTGAATATTTTTCTCTAGCTACCCAAAACACAGGCTTCTGACAGAAGTGTTGATGAGGGTTTTGCCTTATTTTATCAGGACAACAAACTTATGATAGCTCTGAGACCTGCTTGCTTGTCTAGCTATTTTAGAATTAAAATTCAGAGGTGAGAAGTATATCAGAGGGACAACTCAGTATACTTAACCTAAATCAAATTCGGTCTTACCCTTTCTGATGTCAGTCTCTTTATTTTTGGAGGATTGGGATTTGAACTCAGAGCTTCACACTTGCAAACCAGGTATTCTTCTGCTTGAGCCACATCTCTAGTTCATTTTGCTCTAGTTATTTGGAGATGGAGTCTCATAAAGTGTTTGCCAGGGCTGACCTCGAACTGTCATCCTCCTGATCTCAGCCTCCCAAGTAAATAGGATTATAGATGTGAGCCACTGGAGCCCAGCTTCTGATGTCAGTCTGATCTGATTAATGTTTTCACACTGAAGACTGATTTTTGCCAATAAAGTTGTATAGTGAACATTTCTATATATTAAATGAGCTGCATTAATAGTTCTAAAGGTTTTACACACATAGATACAGGAAGATTGATTTTTGCAAGTATTTAAATTTCTAGCAAAATCCTTAGGTGTTGGTTTAAGAACATGTGAAAGGATACATAGCTCTATCAGTTTTGTGGTAGTACATAAGTAAAAGTTTGAAAGCCATGGCTCCAAGCTTTAGGAACAACTACAGTTTTCATATGTTGAATATCCTTAACTTAATTGTATGAATTGGCCAAATGTTCTGGATGTTCTTCAAAAATAAAGATACTCCAGTCAAATAATTGTGTAACTTTGTACACAATCTTGGATTATCAGTGTGTGCTAACTGAAGACTCTCAAGAAAGCTCTGCAATACAGAAACAAATGTGTTTAATTCAGTTTTCCCTGGTGTGTGACTAGTGCACCTTTTCATGTGTAACTCCTGCACCTTGGACAGCTCTTTGGGAAGTATTGGTCTGTGGCACCTCTGCACCTACTCTTCAACTAAGGAATACAGCAATCCTGTTCTAACTCATTAACCAATTTAATCTCACATGTATAAATACCACATTTGTATATTACTTTTCCTTTCCAAATAACAAATTTACTTGCTAATTTTTTATTCAATATATGTGGATTTTAAAAAGTATTTGTAAAATAATGAGGGGAGTGAATTCACCTATGATATATTGTATGTCATAGTGTACTCCCAGTACAACAAAAATATGATGATTTTTTAAAAAAGTATTTGTAGAAGAACTTGGATCTTCATCTGAAATAATAAAGAGCATTAAGTGTAATTCACATCTTTTTATAACTTCCTTTTGAGTTGTTTGGGCTTATTTTTGCTTTAGTTTCACCTAAAACACAGAATATTTCAACTAAAATATCTACAATAAAAGCATTTAACTACATTTCCAAAGGGGTGGGGGAGTTTTTGGAATGGAAATTTCACATTGAAAATTAAATTTTTTGTATTACTAGAAAATGGTGGCTGTTCACCCAACAGAAGTGGTTAATATACTCAACTGCTTCACCTTCAGTAAAGACAAGCTAGTTGCTCTTGAACTGTTAGCTTCGTAAGTATTTCTTATTTTTAACTTCAAATCTGGAAGCTTTTTAACTGTCTTTTAACTCACTGTGTGTTAATGTGTCAGAATTATATAAATAATAGGACCTTATACAGTCTATGAAAGCATAGTGATGAATTTTGATTTCATCCTGTGAATACTTAGTGTATTTATAATACACATGGTATAACTTTCAAAATAATTAGGATTATTTAATTTGACATTTCTGCATTTCAGTGACTTGCTTGATCTTCCTGCTCCAAATAACTTGAAAGGCAAGTTGATAAAGATGTTGGATTTTGAGAGTTAGACTGCAGTTTTGCTGCTTACTGACACAACATATTTTTGGGTCAAGGCATCTGTATTTTCTGAGCCTTAGTATACAATTACATAGTAGGATAGTAAATTTTAAGCCCTGTTAGGTGTGTGAGAATACCTCACACAGCATTTGAGTGATGGTCACAATGAATGTGAGTCTGAAGAGAAGGGTAGGGGACCTAATCTTTGCACAGTTGAAGAGTGTATAAATTGTCCATTCATGGGACAAACATTTTAAAGTTTCATATGTTAATAATATCCTTTAGGGCATGAAATTAAAGTATATGGTAAAACTTCATTTTAGAACAGCCATGATTTTTAATGCATTTAACACAAGTTGTTTTTATTGCCTTGCTTCTCCTAATATTCATTGAAGAGAATGTATTTTCAGGAGTCTCAAAATCTCGATTTTTGCTTATAGTAATTACTTTGTTACTTTCCAGTAATCAGTTAGACAAACCTCAGCTCAGTTATTATATTTGTCATCATTATATAAACATTTAAATTGACCTGTTAAAGGCAAATAGTCACATTTTCTCCCTGTGCCATGAGGAACGTTTACTCACATGTGTTTGTGCAGTGATCAGAAATTGCTGACCTATATGTATGTCTTAAACAAAAAAGCTAAACTGTGTTTCCTTTGTAGAAACATTGTGGATGCACAGAATTCTCGTCCCATTGAAGATTTGTTTAGGATAAACATGTCTGAGAAGAAGCGATGCAAGAGAGTGCTTGAGCAGGTAATTTTCTCACGATTACTGTGAAAATGCTAGACTAGTTTCTGTGGATGTTGGTGAATGAAAAGGTCCCCATCTTCTGTACTAACTTTGACAAAGAACCTGAATACTGGTATGTGGTGGGTTAAAAATTAACATCCTAAAACTATGGAGTAGAAATAGATCTGACTCAGAGATATGCTGGAGTGTGCCTCCTGTGGTAGTTATGTCCTGTCTCTTGGTAGCTGTGCTAGGGTTCCAAGCTTTTGTTTTTAATTTATGTATTTAGAAAGTTGACTTTTCAGATTTTGCTTTGTTACCAGATTTGTGTTAATCAAGTTCATAAGAGATGAGCACAAAAGCAAAATTATGGTTTATTAGTTTAAAATCTATAAAAGAAGGAGAAACAATACTTGTCCAAACCTAGAAAACTTGATTTGTCATTTAAGGTAAAAAATTGCTAGAATTGTAATTGTCATAAGCTGAATTAATAATAAAAACTACTTGAGGAAGGTATAAATTGCTCTCCTAGAGCCTTGTAGCTCAGTTATCTTTAACCCTCACAACCTCCTCTTAAGTTCAGGGAAGTCCTGTGTTATTGTTGCAGAAATGAGATCTGAGCTCACATTTCTTTAACAGTTTCCTCATTGGTTTTATTGACTAAATCTTTATGAAGTCATACATACACTGCTATAGTTTTTATTCCTTTATAAAGCATTCTGTTGATGTCACTTTGCTTTTCAGAAATGTTCTGGAGCTGCATGTTCTATAGAGTAGGCCTTCTGGTTGATCAGTACAACTTTTCTGGAATGTAGACCTTAAAATGTTCAAAGCTTTTAACCCTAAAGTTCTCCTTCTAGGAATCTGTCCTAAAGAAATAAGTAGAAAAATGCAAATTTATATATATGGGCATTTTAGGGTTGGGGTGGCAATAGTAAGGGCTTAGTAGGAGGGCTAGATTATATGATTATAAAGGTAGTATAAATATGTTGGGAATGAATTTATAAAACCAGTATTACTCTACAAAACATACATAACATGCATACTTATACTATGTAGTTTTATATAAGGCTATATAGTTTTATATATACAATGTAGTATATAAGTATAATTGAATATTCTTACAATGTAGTATAGCTCCATTGGAATTGCCTTATACAGTATTTTTCATTTGTTTAACATAAATTTATTGAGCACCAAGGGTTTCGGGAGGTAGTTGAGTGGTACAGCGTTCACCTAGTATATGCATAGCCTGAGGTTTCATCCGTAGTACTACAAAAAAAAAAAGCCAGAAAGGTTCATGAAAATTCTATACAGTTAATTCTGTACTGGCTAGATTGCATATTAGTAAACCATCACCTATTAGTCACCAACTGAGTACTGTGAGGCATCATTTTAGAAGCTGAGGATGCAGTAATAAACATCCTAGGACCAAATCCCTTTTCTTAGTATGTCTCATAATTAGGTAACATTATGTTGGACACTGTATGTCCAAATAAGTCTTGTTTATTCAGTAGTATAGCTCTTTGGACACCCAGTAGCCTGTGGAACATATTAGATATTATATTTTTTTTGTACATAATTTACAGAATACATTGTGAAATATCTTTAAGGATCTGTTTGCAACATTAATATTATTATGTTACCATTTTAATAATTCCACATAAAGTAATTTTGCTTTTATTACTTTTGAACATGTTTGTGGAATCTGATTGTTGTATGAGCAGATTGAAGGTGATGCTGTTCCTTAATTCGTGTTTTTCAGTTGGACTTCCCAGTCCTAGTAAGTCAGAATAATTGAGTTTATGAGTTTGATATTTTTTTACCACTCTCTTCTTTTTTTCTTTTTGTTTTTTATATTACAGGCTTTTAAAGGGGGCTGCAAAGCTCCTCATGCTATGATATCTTCTTGTGGAACGATCCCAGGAAACCCATATCCCAAAGGAAAACCCAGTCGTATAAATGGAATTTTCCCAGTAAGCATACTTTCATAACTGTATGTGAAACACCTCCAGACGAGGTGCGAAATATAGCATAAGTAAATTATATTTAAGAGAAAATGCCAGTTGATGATGCTTCTGTAAAGGAAAAGAATTTAGTGATGTCATCATCTTAATTTATAGATTTACCATGGATTGAAAGTTCTAAGTATTGTGGAAGCACTGGTTTACGTTTAATAAAGGTGCATTTCTTATTCTCATTATTTTTCAAATAGTTTTGTTGAGTACTATTTAAAGTTTGGGCAGCTTTGCATGCAGTGTTTCCTTCTTGAGAGTCACATTGCATAAGAAAGCCTCCCAGAAATCCTTCAAGAAAGCAGTTTGTTTTTATACCAGCCAGTGTTCCTCAGAAAAACCCCTTTGTAAAAAAAAAAAAAAAACTTTTTCAGAGGATGTTCCATTTCTATTTCTGTGTAACAACCCCAGAGCTCTGTGGTAAACAATAAGCATTTATATTATCTCATATAGTTTCTATGGAAATCTGGGAGTGGTTTTGCTGGGTGGTTCTGCTCAAGGTTTCTTTTTTCTTTCTTTTTGTATCAGAAATTTTTTTTGTTAGTATATATTCATTATAAAGCAGTTTCTTAGGAATTTGTATTCATCTGGAAGCTTGATTGAAGCTCAAGAACATGTTTTGAAGGTGGCTCACTTACATGTCTGGCAAGTTAGTGTTGCTTATTGGCCAGGGATCTTTGTTCCTTGCTATAAGGACTTTTCCATATGCTGCTTGAATATCCTCATGACATGGCAACTGACTTCCACCAAAGCAAATAATCCAGGACAGGCTATCATTTCTGGATTATTCTGTATGTTACACAGGTCAGCATCATTCATTCTGGAACAGGAATGTACAAGGGCACATGGGAGGTGAGGAACAGTAGGGGCTGTTTTAGAAGCTGGCTTCCATACTAGTGTATACCATTTAAGGACAGCATTAGGGAGACATATTATGTTAACCTAATTAACCTATTCTGATCTCTTCATTATAGCAGTCTTTAATGAGGTTTCATTTGCCTTTGACAATATAAATAGTCACATTTAATGAAGAACACCATTTTTTTCTCATCTATTTTCGGTTGTAATATACATATTCTTTTTCATTCTCTGAGCGGCATAAATACTGTGTCATTTGAAGTTTATTTTAGGTTTCTCTTTTTGTAGAGAATAAAATTAGAATATATTTTATTCTTTCCTTCTGTCATCCCCTCTGTGTATTGCACTATTTTGGAGTACTTTTGCCAATGCTAAGGAGGTTCCATGACAGGAGGGTTAAGAACCTTATCAGGGTCAGCCTGATGGCCCATGGCTATAATGACAGTGTTTGAGAGGCTGAGGCATAAGGATCAAAAGTTCAGTGATAGTCTGGGATATGTAGTGAGACCCTATTTTAAAAAAAAAAAAGTGTCATGCAGCTGGCCAAGGCAGGCAAAATGAAGTCATTCTTGAGTATTACGCAGTGCAGTTATATGGTTGTTGTTGTTATTGTTGTTTTAAGCTCAATTACCTTTCTTTTTCTTTTTTGAAATAGGGAACCCCTTTGAAAAAAGATGGTGAAGAATGTACCAATGAAGGCAAAGGAATAGCTGCACGGATTCTTGGACCATCCAGACCAGTATGTTTTGAAAATAAAACATGAGACAAGTCGTAACTCCCCCATATAGTTTTTGCTCTGTTCAAAGCATAAATTAAATTTTTGTGTTGCAAAGTTTAATTATACTAGAAATACTAGGACAGTGGAAGAAAATGACCTAGGAAATACAGTATAATTAATTAGCAATGTTAAGGACCCTTTTGAGGTTAAGCATTTTATTTTAAAGTGGGACCAAATTGTTTTAATTTTTTTCATTAGTTACATTTAACTGTTCTGTTGGAAGTATGGAGTGTGGTGTTTGCTTTAATTGAGGTTCTGATTTGGCCAGAATGGAGCTAGGAGGTTGAATCTTTTAAAGGGAGTGATTATCATAATTGGAATGTAAACTGGACAGGAAGATACAACCCAGTGGGTTGAAGGATTGTTGAAGTTTGTGGCGCCTACACACAGCTACCTTGCAATCACTACCCATCCACATAAGAAGAATGCCAGTGGGTGTTGTTTACAAGAGCTAGAAAGAGACTTGGATCCCTTCTGTCCCAAAGGCACATGCTTGCTCTCTTGTTTTCTATAGGTAAAAGCATTTGCTTGTCTTTGGATACTTTTGGTTTTCTGTAGACCAATTCTTTAAGTGCTTTCTGTTACTTAGGTAAATGCCATCAACTGTACAATAAAGTGTTTGTGGATTTATGGATTTCAAAAGACAAAACAACTAAAATATTGAATTCCTCCTTCTAATGAGTTGTCAGAATGCCAAAAACTAAGGCAAACAGTGCTTTTATCTTCCAAAATGAGAAAAAAGTGCGGGAATGATAGGATGAATTCCTAAAGAGTTTAGGAGGTTGCCATTGGGGTTCAACTAATAAACCTAGCGGGTTTCTTGCATTAATTCTTGGATTAATCTAGCCTGGGTCAGAAAGGAGTTTGCTGTTTAGGATAAGGTGTGACCCTTCATTGGAGATGTTTGGGTACTGAACTAAAAAACACACAGCCATCTTTGGCAGGATCTACCTTTGGAAATTAATAGGAACAACTTTTATTAAAGCAAAGATAGTTCCTCATTTGTTCCATGTCTTAGTCCAGTAGCATTTGATACATTGGGGCACTTTTGATCTATTAGGACTAAATATTTTGAAAAGCAAGTTATACTTTGTTTTGCCCAGAGACGGCTTACTTGGTTTTCTTCTAACTGGTATACTTTCCTTCTTGTCTAGCCTCCTTCAACATACAATCCACATAAACCTGTTCCTTACCCAATACCTCCATGCCGGCCCCATGCAACTATTGCACCAAGTAAGGAATTCTCTTGACTTTACTTTTTTTTTCCTGTTTGTTAAATTGCAAGTGAGTGCTAGTTTATTAGGTGTTTAGGAAGTTCTATGATGGTTTAATTTTGCCCATGTTCATCTGTTGCCATGGTCTACAGCACTGTAGGGAATCTTCCTTATGACAACTTAATTATAAGTCATTCTTAATCATTTTTTGTTATTATGGTTTTTACTTTGGTAAATTACCTTATAAGCTTTTTTTGGTAGTTGGTGTTCATAGATATCATTAAATGCATTTAGCTTGAAAAGACTGTGAATATATACTTGAATTTCAGTATGGCAGGTTATGCCTGACATGCCATTCACTGGACATGCCTGTAGTGGACTAGCAGGCATTGCTAGTTGTCTCATTGGTCTCAGTTTTCACTTAACCCTAGACCCAAACCTCCATGTAAGATGCAAAACAGTTCAAAAAATCAATTGGATAGTTGCATTAATACATGTGGAATGCCTGGCAACAGGGTGCTTCTAAGTTATATATATTATTTCTATTATATTTTTATTTTAGGTGCTTATAACAATGCAGGTTTGGTACCATTAGCCAATGTCATAGCTCCAGGTGTACCCCCTCCACCTCCATATACTCCAAATCCAGGAGGAACAGGTAAAGTCATGTTACTATGGGGTATTAAAAGTGAATAACTTACTCATTTACAAATACACACTTGAAAGACACAGTTTAGCATGTGTGTCCTAACAGGAGCACAAGTTTCAGAGCCTGACAGATCTGTGTGTGGGTCCTTGGTAATGTGAGTTAGTTTTCGTAATTTTGATGAACTTCCATTTTCCCAGTTGCAATATGTAATAACATATATAATAGTTTTTAATAGTATTGTTCAGTAATATTTTCAACTAATATATGCTGGGCATAAAAAGTGAACAGAGAGTCCTGTTTTCAGAGAGTTTACAATCTAATGAGAAATACAGATAAGGAAAGCACAACAGCTTCAGTATATTCTACCTAATTGGTTCTAAATTGCACATTTTGTGGTTTAATTTCTTTGAAATTGGAATGTGATCTATAGCAAATGACAAGTTAGATTCTGTCTCAATGCTGAGACAGTACAGGTGCTGTGGAAACTCATAGAAGAGACATCCAGACCAGTCCCATCAAAATAAATGTGAGCTGCTTGTATAATGTGCACTAAAGGTTTGTTGACTCAGTAGTACTTTCAGTTGAATAAGAAGTGGGTACAAGAAGATTGATAATAAAATGCTGTTCAAGGGATGGAAAAGTGACAATAAAGTGGACTCTCTGTAGCCTTGTTAAAAACTTCCTCAGGTCCTCTCTTGTGGGATTCAGTGAATTATAGATAGAGCCCTGGTGTCCTATTTTTTATTGATCTCCAGGTGATTCTTATCTTCAAGCAAATTTGGGTAATATTAGAATCTCCACATAAAGAACCCCAAAAGAATCATAGTATCCTGTTTTGTTTAAGGCTCCCTCCTGTTAACTACCAGATTGAAGTGAGCTGAGGGACTTTGTACCTCCAAACTGTCACTGAGAATATTTGGACATAGTGTAGTTGCTGTCTGACTTGGCAGAGGAGTTGTGGAGAGAGAAACTAAAATTAATGTATGAATATGTATGGAGTTGAGGATAGAGTAGCAAGGGGTACTCTTCCCAAAGATACTTTCTTGCATGCATATGGAAGAGTGAGACCTTGTGGAGTAGGTGGATTGGACACCCCATGCTGGCAGAGGTAGGGAGGAAGTTGGAATCCAGCCTGCTTTACTAAGGCTCTACTACCAGTTGGCCTTGCTGCTTCCTATTCACTTTTTAATGACATCAGGGCTCCACTCTAGTGCCCTTGGGCCACATGTGTGAATTTGTGCTGGTTGTAGAAAAAGAACCATTTCTCGTGAGTGATAAACTTTGATAAGCTCGAAGAAGTACATTTGACTTAATGCCACCATTTGTACAAATCTTACGGTGGAGAGGAAGGGCTTGTAAAAGGGTGATGAGAACTAATACTCCCCAGTATTTACCAATCCAACCTATTCTTGGGTTCTGTGAACATGAGAGATGAACAATAATTATTTTTACATGTATTGGTGAGCTGTTGTCCAAAAACCCTGTACTGGTTTATACCTGCCCATGAGAGTGTACAAAGATACAGTTTCTTCACACCTTTTAAACCTGGGAATTTTCTGTTTCTTAACTTTACCGGTCTGAGAATAATATAGCTTACATTTTTGCATGCTTTTTATAAAACTTAATTTTTATTTAGGTCAGTTATTTGAACCTTCTTAGTTGTGTATCTTCCTTAGGACACCCTTCTCTGCCTAACAGTATGAGAATACCTATATATTCTCTGGTGATTTTTATAGTGGAATTTTCATGAATAGCTTTTAATCTACTTGCTCTCAGATAGCAATGGATTCTGTGCTTATTCATCCAGCAGCCATCTTCCCACTTGCAGTCTTCTGCTCTTGTGGGCAAAGCTGCCCAAGAATGGCTGATAGTTCAGCCAAGGACAGTGGTCTTCTTTGCTTTCTAGTCTCAGAATACACATTCTCTTGGATGTCAAGCTACAGTGTGTATTTAAAACCTGAAGAGCTAAGGGGAGACTTTGAGTGGAGAACAGGGTTTGGGGGAAGAAAGAATAGTTGCTTATAATCTTGTCAGTGTTCATATATTTAGGATTTTTAGTAATTTCTTTATTTTTCCATACACATGCATTCATTATATTTTCTACTTTGTGTATTTATTTATATCTATATTTTTTTCTTTTTTAATACCTGTCTCTGATTATGATGGTCAATAATGTAATTAAAACTTGAAGTCAACTTTTGTTTATTTACTTTCTTACAGAAAATGAAGACCTTTCCAATCAGTCAAAACCTACACAGAATCAAAGTAAGTACCAAATTTGATCAGAGATACTGATGTCTGTCTTAGTTGTCTGTTCTGTTATTCATTGAGAACAATGTGAGTTGAATATATTTGAAAGATTTTAGGAAAATCTCCTGGATAAAAATGAATTAATACTTACTAAAAGTGGCTTAATTCTGATGATTTGTACACAACATGAAATGTATATATTTAACTGGATTTGAATTAACGTTGTGACTTTGTATCCTATTCATAAACTTGCGGTGAAATCTAAGTGCCATGTGGCATGTATGCCCAGGTTCACTTTACATTCTGTGATGTTGGAAGCTTCATTTCTTTTTCCATATGAACATTTCCAAAATGATTTGTAGAAAAAACCCTTTTGACTAATGCTAGGTCGTATTCTACTTTTAGATTTAGTTATTTCAAGAGTATTATTAGGTATAACTCAAGTGGAAAAGAATAGAGGCACCAAAGCAGAAAAAATAATTGAAAATGCAGTAATGCCTCCAGGTGGCAGCAGCACCACAGCACCACATTTCCCCCTAGTCAGTGATGGGCATGGCCAGGAAAGAGGTGCTTCCTGGGATAGGATGAAACTGGAACCAGTTCTTGTGTGGCAGAGTAGCCAGAATCTAATTATTATGGCACACAGACGTCTCAGTGCAAAAAGTCCCTTCCCTGGGAATGGTGCATAATGGGTGCTTTTGAGCTGGTTTGTAATGGTCATGTAATGGGTGAAAAGAACACTTAGTAAGATGTCAGGATATTCAGGTTCTGGAACCACCTAGCTTTGTGATGAGTTGGTCACTTAACTTCTATGAAAACGATATTAAGGAACCTTCATCCTTACATTCTCTGCCACTGAGCTGCACCTCTGGCCCATGACTGCATGATCTTTTAATAATTTGCTTAGCCTCACCAAGTCTCAGATTACCCACCTATAAAATGGGAGGGCAGTATTAGTATCCATCTTGGGATTAATGTGAGGACAAATGCAATGATGGACATAATTATCATGGGGTATGATAGTGTTTTATGCTTAATAACCAAATTAGATGACAGGAAGGTGATATTTATCATGGTAAATAATTGGGGTTTCATTTTTGTTTGTTTTGTTTCATTTTTAACTGCAGGCACAATGATTAATACTGCATAGCTTTTTATTAATTAAATAAAAAGATTTCCAGATGGGCACCAGTAGCTCATACCTATCATCCTGGTTTATTCAGGAGGCAGAGATCAGGAGGACGTGGTTTGAAGCCAGCCTAGACAAATAGTTTGAGAGACCCTATCTCAAAAATACCAACACAAAAAACCACTCATGGAGCTCAAGTGCACCAAGAGCACCTGGCTTCAAGGCACCTGAAAGCACCTGCTTAGCAAGTGTGAGGCCCTGAGTTCAAACCCCAGTACCACAAAAAAAAAAAAAGCCTTATTTTTATGAAATTAAGTCATAACTTACAATATGAAAGTGGTGGTGCTGGAGTGTATCTGAGTGGTAAAATCTATGGTTAGTATCTGTGAGGCATTGGTTTCAATCCTTAGCCCAAAACAATAAAAGTAATCCAGAAATATGAATGTGGTACAGACTTCTGGCCTTTTACATTTGTAATCATATGTTAGTGTTAATTTTTCTAACATATTTCTTTTACTAAGACAACTCCAAAGTCCGTTTAACCCGATAAGGCACCCTTTGACTTTCAGTTAGTGCAAATGAATTATGTGTATTTGTTTACCCCTATTTTTTTCCTTGGATACCCCAGATACCCCTTCCCCACCCATGATTAACCTTGGGTATTACTTCATTGACTGTGTCAGCTTCCTTATATCCAGAGTTAAAAATGTATAAGTCCATGAAAATGTCTTTCAATTGATTTTTACTGCAAAAGAAACATTCCCTGCTTTTAACTGAAGCAGACTTGATTAAGTATAGTAATGAATAATAGTTGCCATTACAGCATTACCAACATAAGTCTTGCTTTCCACGTGGCTCCAAAAGGATTATCGCATGCAAGGTGCTAAGTCTCTAAAGATGAATTCGAAACTACTTTTAAGGACTGGGGTGTAGCTAAGCCGAGCATGCACAAGACCCTGGGTTTCATCCCTAGCACCAAAAAGAAAAAAGCTTTTGACCCTAAAGGAACTTTCAGGACAAGCTAGGTGAAGACTGGGGGTTTATGTAGTGTAGATTGGTCAGGATAGGTAAAAGCAGGGCAAGAGGTGGCTGGTGGGTGCTACACGGACTAGTATTTTGGAATATTCAACTCACAGTGTGGCAACTAACAATACTGGAGAAATGGGTTTGAATCATGGAAGGCGTTGTATGACTCTGAAAGGGAAGTGATAGCCTGAAAGCTCTTGAGAAGAGTGCTGATTGGTGATTTTTATTCTAGATAAGTGGTTTGGAAGAAGTAAAGTAAGTACGCTAAGGCTTCCTCACTATGGCTTTAAGGGCTATTTTAAGCAGGATATAGAAGACACCTGGATCTGCCTGAGGCTCCAGAGTGAAGATCAGGATAATAAAATACTGCAATTTATGTATTACAGGAGCCAATTATATCTGTCATTGATTGTCTTTGATATTTGTAAAATGTGACAAAAATTGTTACACATTTCTTTTGAGCTCAAATTGAACATTTCAACATGGTAATAAATTCTTGCCTTTTTTCTCCCTCCACAGCATTTTCCAACCCAGCAAGTCAGCTCTTTTCTCCTCATGGTTCTAATCCTTCAACACCTGCTGCAACTCCCATCCCTACTGCATCCCCAGTCAAAGCTGTAAATCATCCATCAGCATCAGCAGCTGCCACTGTTTCTGGACTGAACATGTCGAGCGCTGTCCTTCCTGTGTTCCCAGGCCAGGTCTCCTCAGCCGTTCATGTGCCTCAGCCGTCAACACCAAACCCGACAGTGATCAGGACCCTTTCCTTGCCTGCTACACCCGCTGCTTCTGTCCACAGTACCACGTCCACTCCCATTCCTTCCATTTTTTCTGGCCTAGTGTCACTGCCAGGGCCTTCTGCTGCTCCTACCCCAGCCGCTCAGGCCACATCTACACCTCGGGCCACTCTCACTTCAACTGAAACGTTTGCTTCCACTTCTCCTTTCACTAGTCTCTCCTTTTCTGCCAGCTCTACTGCTGTTTCTACCAACAACCCAAATTCTGCTTCACTGTCATCGGTTTTTGCAGGTCTTCCTTTGCCCTTAACACCAACATCCCAAGGTATAGCCAACCCAACTCCTTCTGTCATTGCCAGTGGTTCTGCTCCCAGTGCTGCTGGCCCACTTGGTGTGAATAATCCTCTTCTGTCTGCTTTAAAAGGCTTTTTGACATCAAATGACACCAATTTAATCAATTCCTCTGCTTTGTCATCTGCTGTCACAAGTGGGCTGGCTTCATTATCTTCTCTTACTAATCAAAACTCAGATTCCCCTACTTCTCTCCCTAACAAGAGCTATGCCCCATCAGTTGTTCCCACTTCACAGAGGTCATCCACTCCAGGGCTAGTCATGTTCCCAGGCCTGACTACTCCTGCAGCTAACTCCACCTCCACTGCCCTGACACTGCCTGCACAGGCCCCACTAGCTGCTCCTGCTGCATCCTCAGCAGCAGTACCAGTGAACTGTGGCTCCTCTGCTGTCCTCCTGCATGGCACCCATCCCAGCCCCTCAGACCTGCATATTTCATCCACCCCCGCAGTAACGACTCTTCCGGTTATGATCAAAACTGAGCCCACGAGTCCTACTCCCTCAGCCTTCAAAGGCCCATCTCATTCTGTGAATCCCCCTCATGGCACTTTAAGTTTATCGGGGACACTGGGTCGTGCATACACTTCAACCTCAGTGCCCATCAGTTTGTCTACTTGCCTTAATCCTGCGTTGTCAGGGCTGTCCAATTTGAGTGCTCCCTTAAATAGTTCCAATCCCCTTTCATCTGTTTCCCTCCCGCCACATGCTTCCTCTGCTCCCATCGCTCCTGTGTTCACGGCTCTTCCTCCTTTTACATCTTTGACCAGTAGTTTTCCTTTACCCGGCAACCCATCTCTTAATCCATCAGTGTCTCTTGCAGGGTCATTAATAGCCACCTCATCCTCCACCACCACCTCCACAGCCATGCCTCATCCTAGCTCCACAGCATCTGTTCTCTCAGGGCTCTCTGTCTCAGCACCCTCCTCAGCAGCACCTTTCTCCCTCAACCTGTCTACTGCTGTCCCTTCCCTTTTTTCAGTCACCCAAGGGCCTCTGCCCTCTTCCAATCCCTCCTACCCTGGCTTTTCTGTCTCTAATACCCCGAGCGTTACCCCTGCTCTCCCTTCCTTCCCGGGGCTACAGGCGCCCTCCACAGTCACTGCTGTTACACCACTGCCTGTGGCCGCCACAGCCCCATCACCGGCTCCAGTCCTCCCAGGATTCGCTTCAGCATTCAGTTCAAATTTCAACTCTGCTCTTGTTGCACAAGCCAGGTATGTGAAAAGTTTGCAAATAGGATAAAATCATTTTCACCTAACTTATAGTTCATAGTTTTATTTTATATTATTAAAATGAAAATCAAAATGTCATTATTTGGTGGTGCTAAATTATGTCTGGGCAAAAACTTCAGTGCCCAGAAAATGTTTCATGGCTCTTCATGTATAGATAAATATGTAAAATATTAATGCTTGTTAAGAAAGTTTCAGTGTTTGTATTTGGTAATTACAATATTGTATGTAGAACACTGAATTCAGAATAATATAGAATATATGATATAGGTAGGATAAAGTCATATAAATATATTCTATATTACATTTATATGTGTATAGAATATATTATAATAAAAAGTAAGTTTTACTCAGTGAGTGGCTGGCATTTCTGGGTCCTTCCAACAGAGGCATAAATTCTAAGTTGTTTTGTTTTTAACATCTTAAGATACTACTTGCCCCAGGGTACCGATTGCTCACCCCAGTAATCCTAGCTACTCAGGATAATCATAGTTAAAAGCCAGCTGGGCAAATAGTCGAAACAGGGCTGCTGAAGTGGTTCAAGTGGTAGGGCATCTGCTTAACAAGCCTAGCAAAGGAGACCCTGAGTTCAAACCCCAGTCCCACCAAAAAAAAAAGCATACTACTTGACAAATATAAAGTACCTTCTTTGTCTTATCTGTAGTTTAACTTGTTTTTCTATCAATTGTTCTAGTTTATCATCTGGACTTCAAGCTGCAGGCAGTTCTGTTTTTCCAGGCCTTCTATCCCTCCCAGGTATCCCTGGGTTTTCCCAGAATCCTTCACAGTCATCCTTGCAAGAATTACAGCATAATGCAGCTGCACAGTCAGCATTGCTACAGCAGGTAAATGGGCAGTGACTGGCACAGATAAAATGATAGCATGTACAACTAACACCTGTAATGGTAACACTGTTATATCCCAACATGGGGAAAAGTGGCTATATTAGAATGTCTGTACATTTGATGAATAGGTCTCCCGAAATTTACAAATTATGTTCATTTTTTTTTCAGAAGAATAACACAGTAGGATAAAGTCATTTGTATGAACTGCTTTTCCACTTAAAGGTTTTTAATATTTCAATTTGAAGATTTTTCTTAATAAAATGGAATCTTTGTTTATGACAATTAAATTTTAACTTGTTTTCCACTACTTAAGCTATAATGAACCATTAAAGCAAATTATCTTTAAAAAACAAAACACTCTTGACTTTCTTTTCTTTTTTGTAAGAATAGTAAGTATCAATGGCATTTTCATTCCTTTCCTCCAACTGAAGAAGTTTGAACATTTCTTAAAAATGTAGGAGACTGGGAGGAGTACCTGCTTTGCAAGCAGAAAGCAGTGTTTGACTGAGTTCAAACACCAGTCCACCAAAAAAAAAAAAAACAGTATAAAAAAAAATGTAAGAGACTGAGCAGACTTTATCTTGACCAAAGGTTAGATTTTTCCTTCCTGTTCTGAATATCTAAAGTGTGATGTAGACAAGAGCAAGTTCAAACTTGATTGATTTTGGCCCTCTTGATAAACTATTTTGTTTTTTTTTTTCCCTCCCAGGTCCATTCAGCTTCTGCTCTGGAAAGCTACCCAGCTCAGCCTGATGGGTTTCCTAGTTACCCTTCCACACCAGGAACACCATTTTCCTTGCAACCAGGCTTGTCCCAAAGTGGGTGGCAATGAATTTTTTTTTTTTAAATTCTTGGGAGCAACATGAGATTTGCCTAAGAACTGCAGTGAACAATCTGACAAATGGGCCAAAAGTCAGAAAATGAAAATGAAGATAATCCTAGGGAACTTGTGACAAGAGTTTGAAATGCCGGTTGCATTTTTTAAAATAATGGGTTTTTAAGTATGATTACTCCCCATTCCCTTATATAAATATGCTGACAATAAATTGTATGAAGAATAGTATTTAAAAACTACTTGGGGACTTTTCACCTTCCATCCCACAAAATTTTGAATCATGTATGTTATCTATGTAGAAAGAATATTAAAGAGGAGACAGAACTCTTTATAGCCAAATACAGCCTTAAATCTGCTTGTACAGCATCCATGACAGAAGTAATAGTTGTGCCTCAGACTGATGGGTTGCATGTAGCGCTGAGGGAGTTACTGCCTTGGCACACATGAGTGGTTCTTACTCACATCAGCTGGAACACAGTGCTCTGTATGTATCCACAAAAGGGGACTTGATACCCACTCTTATTTTTAGTATCTAATATTAATGATTACACATACTGCTGAATTTAACTCAATATATTTCAGGTAAGTGAAAATGGTGCTTAATGTAGTCTTTAGAATGACTTTCAGGTGTTTTAGACTAAAATACATATATATCCAGAACTACTTTCTTACAGAAATACAAGTAAGGAAGGCTGATAATGTTTGCCTTCAACAGATTTTTCCTAATTTCAGCAGTATCCAAATGAGTGAGGAACAGTTGACTGACTATTGGGCCACCTCTATTATTCATTGTACTAGGAAGCTCTTGGTAAATGTTTACAATCATGGGATGTAGTATTTCTGTTTGTACTTAAAGTCAAATGCTTATCTGAAATAATATGTGACAGCAAATAGAGACTTGCTCTGTTAATGAATATGCAGTGTGTACTCTATTTAAAGTCCTGTGGTAGTATAATATGTTTGAATGTCATTAATTTAAGAATAATAACTGCCACATTTGGGGGTGAGTAGGAAGAATGAATTCTAATCCTGTGATTAAAGTGTAAACTATAGAATCTACTGTAGTACATTTCAGCATCTAGAAGTTTTACTTTTATAAAGATAGTGTCTGGAAGATGTTGCAAATGTATTTTCCTTCAACACGGGGAGCATACTTTTTAAGTATATGAAATATTCCTGTATGGTTAGTTTTTAACAGTTTTTTAAAAATAAACTTTATGAATATGACAAATATTTTATAAATGTTTTATTAAATCCTTTTATAGGCTCTTAAATTTTTTGTGCACACTAGAATTAATGTATTGAATTATTTTTGTCTGAATTTAGTTGAAATGCTAAGCTACTGATTGTCTGCTCCTTTAAATAATATCTTATGCAAGAGTCATAGCTAACAATTAAAACAGACTGACTTATACCTTTTATTGTCTTCAAACACAGAATGTAATTGTATAATAATTGCTACAAGTTGTCACTTGTTCATTTTACGTCTACATTCATAAAACTTTTTAAGATTATATTGTATTGCTTATGTAAGTTGACCATTCACAAAATAGTTACTGAATGAGTGATCTTCATCCAGTGTGACAGTACTACAAGGTATATTTCTGCTATCCTTTGGGTCTCATGAATAGAAGAACAATATCCTGTTCATATTTTAAATTTATTCTGGAATCTTACACATATTGGGCACTCAAAGGTTTACATAAAAGTGAAGAAAACATTTTTGGAACACTTGCACTAATTATTAGGGGCTCATCTTATGTATTTGTTTCTCATTCTTGTGAGGTAAGTACTGTTAACCTAATTAGCTAGATAAAGAAGGCAAGGTGTGAGTCACACAATAGGTAAGTGATAAATTTGAAGGAAGTTTTTGCTACCAGGCTACTTGTAATACCAGCTGCTAAGAAAACATTGATTGGGTAGGTCCAGGGGGAGGCAAACCTTACTACCTGAGGGGATTCAAAAAGATTTCTCAGTGACAAAGTCATAAATGACTAAGACCATGACTAAAAACATTCTTAGAAAAGCACAAAACATGATAGAATAGCATAATAAGATAACCCTGTAACTGGATGAAGCACAATAAAGAGTTTGAATGAAGCTAAAAAGCAAGAGAGAGATGTGATCACAAAAGACTTGGAAAGCTAGGCTTGGTGCCACACTCCTGCCTGTAATCCAGCACTTGGGGCACAGAAGCAGCAGGATCCTGAGTTTGAGGCCAGCCCCAGCTACATTGCAGGAACCTGTCTCAAAAACAAAGACATTGGCAAACATGATAAGGAGTGGGGAATTTATTCTGTGCTCCACAGTTTGGAAGTTTGTTAGAAAGCACTTTAGAAAACTCACATAGGCTATAGCACAGAGGTTGGGTTAGAGGTAGTAAACTGGATGGTTATTGTGGGAATCCAAAAATAAAGACTGTTAAACTGACATGGAAAGAGATTAGAAATGTTACTGTCTGTTCTTTTATATGAAGGCCTGTAGAATTTGCAAAAAGTTGTTACACACGTTGAGTGTACATTTGCAGCATATATATAACTGTATATTAGTAAGAAAGCAGCCAAAAATATATAAGCAAAAAGCATGCATGTGTAATCACAGAAGAGAAAACATGAGTTGTAAATTAGCCACTTAAATTGTTTAGCCTCATTAAGGTTTTGGAAAATCTGAATTCAGATTATAATTAAATACTAAATATTAAAAGCTGTAACTATCAAAGTAGTATCAATGATGTGGAGCAAAAGGAATACATGTACACTGCTAGTAAGATTGATTAGATCGTAATTCCGTTACTTATAATAACCGCTAAAAATACTCTAAGTAGACTGTGGCCTATGTATTAAAGAGTACTGAAAATTGCAACATGCATGCAACAAGGTAAACAAACCTAAGAAACATAATGTGGAGTGATAACAGTCACAGGAGATGACATGAACATTCTTAGGTCAAAAGCAAATCAAAGGTCTACACATATGATAAAAAATTTTAAAGCAATAGGATAATCAGTACGGATTGTGCTTATGGAGAGATGGGGATGAAGATTGGGGAGGAGTACTTCACATAGCTTCATTGGTATTGGAATGCTCTACGTTGAGTAGTATGTTCATGGCTACTTAACTTTACTCAATAAGTACATTATGTTATTTCATGTGTATCAACAAAATTCCCACAATAAAATATTCAATAGATTACTTTCCAATGTGTAAAATACTTAATCAGGGGTGCATCCAGGTAGATGTTTAGTTAGCTGATGATAGTTGGAAATACTTATTTTTCTAACGAGAGGTCTAGGCAGTGTGGTGACTTACTATTATAAAGATACATTGCTGGGGACTGAGTTTGTTATTTAAAGATGTGGGAATTCAAAAATTGGATAAATGAGAAGAAATAAGACAGTGAATGATGTGTATGTGGTTAAGAGTTAATGACATCAGAGAACTTCATTTACAGAAAAGAGCAGCAAATGTCCTGGATCACATTTGTCCATCTCAGCAGTAAACTGGTGGATTATGACTAGCTTCCCCAAACCAGAAGTTTAGGGCAGAAGAAAGTTTCAGGGGTAAAATGGATTGTCTCCAGTGAGAGGTTTGCTCTATAAAATGCCCATTCAGGAAAAAGCAAGTACACATATTTAGAGAGGAATGTACTATATGTCAAAAGTAAGAGTAGAATTAGGGTATTTAAAAATAGCTATTCCTCATTTCAGGACTTTGCAGTAGTGCAGGAATTGACTGGATGAAAGTGTAGAAACAAGAGACTTTCAGGAGTACCTTCCAGCAATTCCTTGTCCTCCCCTATGGCAGAGAAATGTCCATTCAGAGTCTATCATCTGACCTAATAGTTGGCATTTTAAAGACAAGAAGGAAATGGGTTCAGGTTTTATTTCCCCAGCCCCTTCTACAGTGCCTTGGCATGTTGTAGGTGCTCATTACTTGTTGAAACCACTCTTGCTTTCTAGTCAGAGACATTTGGAACATTTTGCAGGAAGAGCAAAAACAGCCGCTTAGTCATCTTCCAAGGGGATGTGCATAGCAAGCTCCTTTGAGGCTCCTGGCAGCTGCCCCCAAGGAACAGTGATATGTTTTTTTGTTGTTTTGCATCTCACACCTTTGTGACCAGCAGTGCTAGATTAAATGGCATTTGGCCAATATTAAGGGGGATGTGTTTAGAAATAAGCTGAACTAGAGCTGTTGCCTGACTCTGGAGGAGCATCTGATCCAGGCAAAGACTTAATATGGCCTAGGTATGAGGGATAAATGAGAACACACTTTCTGTTGCTCTTTTCATGAGAGGGTAGTCACAAAGTAGTGATGACATGGTGATAAAGTAGAGGTTAGGAAAGAACAGATGGAACCTATACATTGACAATATAGAACCAGGAAAGGGCCTCAAGTTTTAAATTTGTAGCAAACAGGACTAGATGAGGGAGCAAAGACATACTGACATACAGAATTAAATCACCAATAATCTTGCATTTACATGAAACCAAGGGAAAGGGGAGACATTGTGAAAATTAATTCACTATTCCTAGAGGGAAGATACTGAGTCTGATACTCAGCCTTATTCATGGTAATGATAGTTACCGTTTTTCAGTACCACTCATTCTTAGTATTTTGAAAAAAACATCATGATTCTTACACAAATAACCATGTTCGGCAGATGTTATTTTCTCCAAGGTACAGATGAGCAAAATTAAAGACAAAGAAGTCAATATCTTACCCAAGGTCACACAGCTAGTTCATGGCCAACAGAGGTTTCTTTGTATCTGGGCAGTGTGAGCTCGAAGCTTTCTTTTGCCTTGTGCCTCTGCCATCATTCTTGATAGAGCCAGAATCGTGGAAGGAAAATGAAGAAGAAAGTATTGTAGAACACACTGACCTTGCATATGTGTGTATATGTGTCTGTTTTAACGGTGCTTTTGGTTCCAGGCCTCCTACCCTAAAGTTCTAAATTCCAGATTTTTTCTGGTAATTACAAAGTGTATGGCAGTCATGATTATTACCACAATTTGAGTTTGTGGAGAGGGCAATTAGATTATCAAGTAGTTAGCAAGATTAAACCACAACGTAGGAAATTTTATTAAAGATGATGTTGCTAGGAAGGAAATAGTTGGGAAAGGAAAAATTACAAAAGATGACCAAAGATCAGAATTTGTTTGGTTTTTTTTTTTTTTTTTTTTTTTTTGGCTTCCCACAAAGGAAAACAAAATATTTGGGATATTAATAGAGAGATGAGTATCAGAAAGTTAGAAAACTAGAGTTTTGGAATAAGCTTGAAATGGTCCTTGATTCCAGATGGTGTGATAAGAAGGAATCCTGGGCCAGGAAGACGAGCTGGCCAAAGAAGACCTTTGCCATTTGTGAACTGTTACTGTTAGTAAGTTATGTACTCAATTTGCTAAGTATTTGTTGAACATCAGCTGTGTCTGCCGTAGTCTAAATGTTACAAATGCAGTAGTAAATGATAGCAGACCAGTCACTCCCCTCATAGAAATTCATAGCATGAGGCAGGGTCCAGCACACTTTTTCTGTAAAGGAATAGATAATATTTAAGTTTCTGAAGGCTAATGGTCTGTGTCATAACTACTAAGCTCTGCAGGTATAGTACAAAAGTGGCCATGGATGATAGCAAAACAAGCGTACATGACTGTATTCTAATAAGTTTACTTTACAAACAAAAGGGGTGATAGACCAAATTTGACTGGCAAGCCAATCCCTGGTCTAGAGAAAGAAATAGACACAAGCCAAATACTTACAAATGTGATAACGGGAACAAAGGCCCTCTGGCCAAGGGTCACACAGTTTAAGAGGGACTGACAGCATGCAGGAGGAGTGCCATGTGAATAAGACTGGAAAAGGACAAATGGGCCAACCCGCAGGGTCTCCTGGGACACTTAGGACGTTAGCTTTTACCTTCCTAATAATTGGCATTCTTGGATTATTTTAAGCAGAATGATGACATGATTAGATTTGAGTTTTAAAAGATCTCCCACTGCAGTGTGTTGAATGAACTGGAGTTAAATTTTCTATTACAAAACATAAAGATAGATATACTTGCCTTGCATATCAGACACTTCACTGTGGTGAACAAATTACACAAGATGCAAAGAAATGTTTTGTAGTATATAAATGATACTAAAAATTACATAGGGATATTTTACAGGAAACACCACCATCAGAAAGTCATATTCTTTGGAATTTTCTCTTACGAACAGAGACAGGTGAGTTCACAAAAGGAAAGAAACTTTGTTTATGTTACCAAGCTTCCCTCACCAGGGTAACTGCTTACTCCTCAGGGTGCACTAGAGAGAAGAAGCTTCCCTCATTCTGTCTTTCTGCTTTTGCCCTCTCCTGAGCACATTGGAGTTGCTGCCTGCAGCACAGGTTTGGCTCCAAACCCATGACAATTCACTAAGTTTAATAACGTCTCAAGAATGAGATGGATTCTGGGCTTCTTCACCTGAGAAGCAGGACAAGGAAATTTAGTGGGTAAGTTCCTTTTTTCTGTCATAAGCCTGTAATACACACAGGAAGCAAAGCAGGAGCTGGAGCAATGAAGTTGTAGAGTAGCATAGGATATGCTTGTTGAAATTGGCTTCTGTTTCCTTTAGAGCCCCACATTTTGTATTTACTGCTTAGGCTGGTTGTATTCGCTTATCGAACAAACAACTATAACTTACTCTTTTTTCCTCATTTTGTAATAAGACTTGTGCTTAGTTTTTGCAGCTCTTTTATCACATTAAATAGCAATGACACTTTGAAGAGGCTGGCTTTTGTCCACCTTCAAATACATTCATTGATGCTATGACTTAAAGTTAGTTTGGAGGGAGGAGGGATAAAGGAGAATGTTGGAGGGAGTGAATTCAACTATGATATACTGTAAGAACTTGTGTAAATGTCACAGAGTAGTACCCCCAATACAATAATAAAAAGAAAGGTATTTAAAATAATGAAGTAGACAATTAGTTTTACAAAAAAATAGTTACACACAAAAGTTTGAACTTCCTCATGTTTGATAAATGGAGAGAAGTTGCAAAAAAGCTTAGTTCATAAGTACCAACTTCTCCCTTAATAACAATGACTAAGGGCTGGTGGAATGGCTCAAGGAAAGAGTGCCTGCCTAGCAAGCACAAGGCACTGAGTTCAAACCCCAGTACCACCAAAGAGAAAAAAAAAGACTATTATGTATTAGAAATTGTTTTGTACTGGACTTGGTAACTCTGTGATCCCAGCTATTTGGGAGGCAAAAATTGGGAGGATCGCTCACTGTTAAAGGCCAGCCCAGGCAAAAAGTGAGTCCCATCTCATTAAACAAGTCAAGCATGGTGGTATACGTTTTATAATCCCAGCCGGGTGGGAGGCATAAATTCAGGTCAGTCTGGGGCAAAAACATGAGACACTATGTGAAAGAAATAACCGAAAGCAAAAAGGGCTGGGTTCATGGCTCAAGTGGTAGAGTGCTTGCCTAGAAAGCATGAAGTTAGTAAAAACACAGTACTGCTGGGTAGCAAACAAAACAAAATAAAATTTTGCTTACGGAATCTTTTTAAACCTTACATTAATTATGAAGCAGATTCTCTTATCTCATTTTACAAATGAGAAAACAATCTCAGAGAGCTTAAAAACTTGCCAAGTTCCAGAAACTGATGGTGATAGTGTAAGTTGCGTGTGTGTGTGTGTATGTGTGTGTTTGTGTGATCTAACCCGTGCTCATTGAGAATGCATTTGACATATTAATTTGTAGAAGAAGAAGTATGCATTTAGAGACATTTACCTGAATTGGAAAAGAAATTTTTTCTCTTGAAGTATGTGTAGCATCCCTGGTAACGCTGGAGGCAGTAAATATCACTTGGAGGTGCAATTCAAGGACTCTTCCAGGACTCCTTATCATCTTTACAAACAAGCAGTTGGACATTTTGGGTTCCATTTTAATAGCTTGAGATGGCAGCTGGGCAGATGAAGTGATTGAAACTGCATCATCAATGAGATATTTGAAAGCACTCCAAAGCCTCCTTGGTTTTGAGTTTTTAAAAACTTGTACTATCTCAGAACAAACAGAGCTGGTGCTTATGCTTCACAGCTTCTGATTTCATGTGCTTTTGGCAATGTCTGAGAAGCCTAGTATAGACCACTCTCTGAGATTCAGAGAATAAATTTGCCCTTGCCCTTCTCCAACTTGGATACATTAACAAGACAATGTTATTTAGTTCTTGAAGCAGTACAGAGATTTCTACTCATAAATGATAAGGGAATTAAATGAATAACCAACTCCTTATTATCATCTCTAGCAGGAGTCTCTGTCAATGTGCATCTGGCATGTCCTCACTTTTGAAAGCCACCTGTATACATTTCTGACTCCAAGTTCATATACCACAGGGTAGGTTAGAATGGCCTGATGGTAGGGAAATGTTTACACAGTGAAAATCCCATAAGTTAGGGCTCCCCCTGACCCCAGAAACCCAGTTATTAAATATTTGCTAGCCTACCACTACTTGGTAGCTTTCCATATTCTCTACTGCTTCTTTGTTTTTTTCTAAAGAATTAAAGTGAAGTTATTGAAACTGAGATGCTTATGCCTTAGATAGTCCTTTCAACATTAATATGTTAAAGAGTCTTCCTGGGAAGCTTGTTAAAATGCAGACTTCTGTGAATCCCTTCCTGGATGGTCTTGAGATTCTGCAACCAAACAGCTCCCAGGAGCTGCTAATTGCCAGCCCGTGAGTAACACCGTATTTCTTTTTGGCAATTCTGTAATTTCCTGAAAAGTGTTCTTTGATGCAAGCCACGTGCCTATTTCAGAGAAAAAGACAGGAAGGAGGATGGATTGCAAGTGATGAAAAGATAGTATTTACCCCTAAGATTTTATGTTAGATTTCTTGTTTGATACTCAGTGTCATTGATTTTTCTCCACAGAAGTTGACGAAGTTCTATTTTACCAAATGTGTCTTCACAGGGTTGGAGGTGTGGAGGGTGGGGAGGGGAGAGAGAGTTGTAAACACTCCTCTTTCCAAATCCAGGGAAGGTGATTGTTTCCACCTTTTTTATTTTTCTCCTGGGAAGTACCTGATCTTTCCTGCTTTGGATACACAAAGAACTTTTCTTACTTGACATGATTTTTTAGCTTTAAATTTCCTTTATTTATTTAATTAGTGACACTGGGGCTTGAACCCAGGGCCTACACCTTGAGCCACTCCACCAGCCCTTTTTTTGTGATGGGCTTTTCAAGATAAGGTCTTGGGAACTATTTGCCCAGGCTGGCTTCAAACCGAGATCCTCCAGATCTCTGCCTCCTGAGTAGCGAGGACTGCAGACATGAGTCACTGGCACCCAGCTTAAATTTACTTTTAAAAGCCATAAATGTATCCAAAATTTAGAAAACTCAGAATATAAACATCAGAAAATTAGGAAACACTGAATTTCCACTACTTAAAAGTAACTGCTTATGAGTGTGGGGTCTATGTAGACCCTGGGTGAGCAACTCTCAGGTCCTTATGTCTCCCGAACAGAGAACTGGACAGAGATACAAACTGCAGAACAGTAGTAAAGCTTTATTGAAAAAAAAATGAAAGAACAGGCACCACGAGAGAAAGAGTGGTGGGCCCTGATCAGGTGGCACAGAAGCACTAACCTTTGTTCAAAGGACAATTTATAAGTTGTAAGGGCAAACACCAGGAAAAATCTCTATGGTCTTTGTAGGAGAGAGGGCCAATGCTGATTAACACGTTGGTTGACAAGGTCTTGTTATTCTTTGCATGCATTTATGCTAATTCCCAAGTTTAATTGTATGCATGAGATGCAACCAATAGTCATAAGGTCTTAAGTACAGGGCTTTCCCTGAGAGATCAGATTGAAGACAGATTTCTCTTTACTGAGCATGTGCACTTTGCTGATCTGAACTGGCCAAGAGACTCCCCCAGTCTTTGGGGGAACTTAAATCTGCAAAGGGATTTACAATCAAAAAGGAATTTTCAGTCAAGGAGATGTTGAAGGGTGGTATAGAGTGGGGAGAAGGAGGAATTCGGCATGAGGTGAAGTTTCTCGTTGAAGAGGGTGGAGTCCCATGGTGAGTAACTTTCCCTGTCACTAGCCTGCCTTATAACCACTGTTCATATTTTTTTCCTTCCGAATTGTTTTCTATATATGCATTTGTACTAATTGGGATTCTACTGGCCATATGATTTTGTACCCTACTACTTTTTTCTCTTAACATTTTGCCAATGATTTTTTCAAACTTAAAAAAATGTACATAATATGTTAATATGTGTATGCATCATGTTTTACTTAATTATCTCTCTGTTGTTGTAGCTCGGGGTGTTTTGTTTTTTTAATTTACCACTGGTATAAATGACACTGTCACGAGAATGTGTAGGGACAAAGTATTTGTACTTGTTGGCAGTGCTGTTATTTCAGAGGGTGGGAAGCCTGGGGAGCATAGGGATAGAGGAGAATGATGCAAGGCAGTGTATCTTCTTTATTTTCTTCTCATGATGCAGAGGAGTGGCTATGTAAGGCAGAAAGTGTGGAGGAGAAAATGCAAGGGCATATGGTTCTCAGGTTAATTGAGTCTCTTGAGAGAAACATAATCTCTTCTGGTGGACCGTTATTTACAGACAAAAACTTTCAAACACATCCATACATCTATTACATTGCTCAGCATAACTCTGAGACTTCAAAGTGGGTGAAGTGTAGCTTTCATTCACTTTATTTTTTTTCTGGCATCCACTGTGGATCAGGAAGTGGAGACATAAAAACAAAATACCTGTTCTCAAAGCTACAAAACTTTACAGGGAGTTCACAGAAGGTAAAGACGACAGAACTAAAACATGACAGTGCACCTTGGAGAAGTGATGATAGATGGTGTGTAAGAGTCAAAAGAGGAGTGCCCAAGGATGATGGTGAGAGTTAAAGAAACATCTTCCTAGAAAAGGGATAGGTGACAGAGGGGAGAAAGGATGCTAAACTATGCAAAAGGGTCAAAACGTGTAGGGACATGAATGACTTTCCCTAGTACTGTTAGCGTGTGACTTGGCTTCCTTCTCCCATAATGGAGACCACTAAGGAGGGAGGAGGAAGACAGATTACAGGAATATTAATAAAGGAACTTGATCAAAGTACACTGTACGCATCAATGGAATTATCACAATGAAACCAACTTGTGCTATTAATATATGCTAATGAAACAAATAGAAAAAATTAAAACTTAAAAAATATATAAAACAGTTAAAATTTTACCCCCCCCCCAAAAAAAAAGAAATTCTTGCCATCTGTAAATCTGAATTTCTGATGTGCTGAAAGCTGAAGCATCAAGCCTCGTTTCAGGCTTGGGAGTTGCTGCTGCATGTGGGTGATGGAGTTGAGACTGGTTTTCTTTGTTCTCATGGTGATAGCAACCATGCTTGTTAGTGTCACAGTTCTTTTAGCTCAGCAGTGTGCAGTCACTGATTTATCTGGGGTTCTTGTCTCAAACTCAAAGAATGAAATCCATGGTC